GGCCCAACTCTCTTATAGATCCAGATCTAGTATAGTACTTATAAGTTTATCGATTTTAGCCATTCGATTCAATGTTATTTTATAATAAAATTATGTGTAATTGAGAAAATGGGTTAGATGAACATGTTCAAATCACAATTTCAAATTTAGCCTAGAAATTATAGCTTAATGATTCTCTTCTAAATAAAAACAAACAATGTAACCTAAAACTCTAAAACGTAAAAGACTAAAAGAACTATGAGGTTAATTCTCTTGAAAAATTACTAGAATAAATCGTGGAAAGAAGGATGAACACACAATACAAATTGATTTGTCTAGTGTTGACATTGCCCATAGTATTTTGTTGTTGGGACCATTAGCCTAATGAATCCAATCTTTCACCATCAGTGTTTGCAAAACGGTGTATTGCACCGGCAGTTAGACTGGAAAACTCGTCCAATCTAAATTGAAATTGGTAGGCAATTTTATTGGTATGAAATAATATAACCACAATTCAACATAAAATATCACTGACTTTTTATGTACAATATTCAATACGATTTCGATTTGCAATTCTTATTTTCCATATATCCCTCTCCTCTTTCTTATATTTTCTTCATGTCCATTATTATATTTATATGAGTGAATACGTGAAATTGATAATTTTGGTTCACTAATAGTTAACAAAAAAAGGTTCATTACTTCATTGCATATCAATCCCATGAAATAGATTGATTATATATAGGACAGCATTTGTTTATGTATGGTCAAGTGTTCAATCATCGTGGCTTGCATGCTCAAGTTCCCACCAACTCCAACGTCTCCATCATCTAGAAATCCTAAAATTGGTCAAGGAAAAGCTCTAGAGATCATTCCTTGTCATCAATGTAATTCGAGAATTAAATATGCATTGATGCGACATGCGAGTATTTTGAATTTTAACAAATAAGAGCAATATAGAATATAACTTTAGGCCGATCGCTAAAATGAGTAGATGATATTGTGCAAAGACTTATTTTAAAACTCTTAGTACAAAATTTGTCAACAACAATAATCTTAGTATAAAAGAACATGTAATTTAGACAAAAACAGGTCGAGAATGGGGTGAATCGGGTTAAGGAGAGTACTCATGTGGTCATGCCCGCTTCGTTCAGCCTACGGGACAGGTTTTACCCACCTCAAAACAAGCTAAATATATATCGGATAAGATCGGAATTTTCATACGGGACGATAGAAGAAATTTGCAATCAGGTGGCTCAATATTAGAGGTGGCAATTGGATCGGATTCGTGGATTGGATTGGTGGATCAATTGATCAAATGGATTGGATTCAATGGATTGGTGGATTCATGGATTGGATCAAATGGATTGGTGGATTGATCCATGAATCCAAATGACATCCAAGGCTTGGACCAAAATGTAATTTTTGAAAAGTTTAGGTACTAAAATGTCATGATGAAAAATTTTAGGTACCAAAATGTTATTTTCTAATGTTATTTTTCGTATAAAAATATATATTTTAGGTACTAAAATGTAAAATATAAAAAATATAGGTACCAAATTGTAATTTGTCATTTGGATCCATAGATTGATCCATGAATTCACCAATCCAATTGGATTTGGATCAAATTGATTGGATTTAAATGGATTGGATTAGGTGGATAATTTGATGGATGAATTGGATTCATGGATTTGGATCCTAATTGTCACCTCTACTCAATATTGAACTTGGATCAGAGAGATAAGGTTCCAGCTAGGACATGATAATAACAAAACATTGTCTCTGAGATTGTCTCTGGATATTGAACCAACACTATCTTTCTTTTATCTCCCTTTTCTGCTGTGGAAATTAGCGAGAGTTTTGGTTCGACTTTTCGTTTTCATATCTGATCTTCTGGTCGTTTGTTAGAGTCAGTTGGACAAAGCATGGATGGGCCGTCGTAACCGCAAATAGACTTCTCACATGTGCTTTCTAGTTTCTATCAATGTAATTTCAATTTCTAAATTGTCTTTTTTTTTTCCTAGTTAGCCAGCATGCAGAATCATAATAGTGTGATTCGCCTACAAAAGGGAAAAAAAAAATTAGTGTGATTCACGGTAGTGTGTTTGAATTTCCACGATTACTTATAAAAAATCTTATTGCTTGTCGTTTTATATGTGACGGTACACAACTTTCTTATGAATTGGGAAAATTAATTTGATATAATTCGCTTCAACAAATTATCATATCATGGTCTTAAATTCTCCACTGTGAGCTTAATCATCCTCTCATTGTTTTCAACGTTTTTTTGTCTACTTATTTGCCAACACCAACTAGCTAGACCAATGAAAATAACGTGCCCATGGTGCGATTTTGACAGATAGGAAAACTTTGGGGACCATTAATTAACAATCATCCGCTGTCCAACCAACCATGCATGCAGGGCCAAAACGACGTCGTGTCAATGATGGGTTCTTTCCCTCACGAAGAGGGAATCAACTACGGGAATGGGATAGTCTATCTTGGAGAGAGAGAGAGGGGCCGTTTTTCGTTTCGGTTACAAAGATTCCGATGGAGATCGACGTGGTCACTTCCAGAACTGGACACGTCAGTTATTATTATTTGTTGGGGTCAAATCAGAAGTAACTGATTTTCTGATGACTTAGAATGAATCTAGCTTTTATGGGGTCGTTTGGAAGTTGCGATAGTTTTGTTGAGATTGTTATTATGCATGTATTGTTTACAATGCATCGTTTTTTTGTTTTTTTAGCAGAAATAATACATGGATTGTTTCTGTGATGTGACAGAAACTATCACTTATTTTGAGTGATTGTTATATCTCAACTTTTAGTTGTGATTGTTGAGATAGTTGAGTTGAGATTGTTTTGTCTCAGCTTTTAGCTGATGCGAAATACACAATCACACATACCAAACGTTGTATTCTACAATGCATCAAATTCGACAATACATGCATAATATTATACATGCATTCTCAACAATACATCTATATGTTCCATCTCTCGATCGAGTACTCAAACGAGGAAATCAGGGAAAAGGAAGAAGAAGATTCTTGATTATATATGATAAATGTAATAAAGGTAAAATGATTTTATTTATTCGAGTAAAGACTACATATGCTCTAGATAAATATGTGTCAACCGTCAACAATGATGTAATCAGATCGAAGCAAGTCTTCATACTCGTTTTATCTACGATACTGGTATTACTCGTCTTGGAACATATCGGACCGTATGGGGTATAATTAAACGCAGTATGGAAATTATCATCTCTATTCTTGATGGAGTGACAGAAAAAGAAAAGGTAGTCATTAAATGATTCATGAACACATATGCCACTAACCCCTGATGGACAGGGATGTCTAACCTTTCTATGGGTTTGGTGGGAGGGGATATAAACCAATGATTTTAATTTGATTAAAAAATGATATCGTAGCTAATTATTAATACCAACTTGCAACTTTGGTATTTAAAAAAATCCCAATGTAACACCCTACCCTATACATATTACCTAATCATATTGTTCATACAATTGCAGCGGAATTAATCTCGGGTGTTACACTAATTATCAAAATTTACCCAAATAAAATTTCGACATGAATTACTCGCGTAATGGGCTAACAGTTCTTCCATCTAATCCTGCAAAATCATTCATCAAAATTCATGCAGTCATAGACAAACATATACACTCACTGCCATATGCATTGGCTTTTCATAGCCATATTCACACTTTCGTACTCTGCAACTACATACCATACTTATACAAGTCATAATCGTCACAACTTACACCACCACACACATATAATCAACTTTCCACACCTGTGGATATCTCACACTACATCAAAAGCTAATATGCACATGAAAATGTTCTGAAAACATTTTTTACAAAAAGGTGTGGATCACTGGCCAAAATCTCAAGTAGTCGTCCAAGCACAGAATAGTTGAAGACCATACCTCATCTTGACTTCAACTCTAGCTACTCTCCCACCTAACACCTATCTACTGCTGCTGCTGATGATCTACTTACACATAGCATAAGCAGAGAAAAAGAATAAAAGAGGGTCAGCTCATAGCTGAGTGAGATAATCATTGCATAGTGAGTTCATAACAAAGCATACCCCTACCATACATCTAGCAAACAAGCCAAAGCACTAGGATCAGACCTCAGGCATCCGACATCCCAATAGGCAAAAGACTCAACCACCTTGACTTATGCATATGCATCTTATCATGTTTTACTTATAGGCGCCTGGCTACTCCCATGCTAATTACTCTCCCGGGAATACGGACCAAACATCTCGTGGATGTGGTCATATCGGACCCACCACTGCCGGTGTAGTCATATCGGACCTGACACCACCATGGGTGTGGTCATATCGGACTCAACACCACTCTGGGTGTGGTCATATCTCATGATGAATCAACGGTCAACACCACATCAGGGGTGTGACATAACATATCATAACGGAGTAATAGCATGGGGAGCCCTAATTACTATGTAATTGACCATGAGACCAAATCACTCTTGTTTGGTAATCTTATACATGATCCATATCTCATCTTGCTTAATCATAATTCGTTACTAGCACATGAACTTGACCTGGCCATAATTGGCTCAACATAGGTAAATCAGGAGTCGTATAATTGCACTTCCTCGGGATAAACCCTCGTGCAAGTCATCCTCCTTAAACATCATAATATCACCAGGGAATATATATTTTCCCACTTGTGCATCCAATTACAACAATCATGAAAAATCATACCTAATCACCTTCTCGAACCATCGTAAAGCATATTAACAGTCAAGCCCACAATTTGCAACATATACACAATCATCAGCATAAACAAGGTTCATATCGATTAGGGCAAGTCAATAATATCATACAGCAATCCAGGGTTCAACATATAGCACAAAAGTTCATACACCCCTAATCATGCCATTCTAGTTCACCTAGATCCATTCTAAGCATCAATATAATTATCGTGATATGACAAACCCGGTATGCCGTGCTAATCCCTCACCAGTTCTGGTCGTTCAAACACCGATTTAAGCTTCCCGTACTAAAACGTCAATTTCACGAACGAACCCCGAATTAAAATCCGAGACCGCCCTAATATCCCCTGCAGTATCGCCGTCAATATTCGTTATAGGCTCCGGGTCAAATTCTTGATAAAAATACATCAAACCCTGGCCGGAGCTAAATTCAGCGGTTTGGACCCCGGCCTAAATAATAGCCGAAATTCAGGGATTAAAACTGGAGGATTGATTACCTCGCTGCAGGAAGCTCGTATTTGAAATTTGGGCTCAATCCGGCTTCCGGATACTCCGAAACCCTAATTTGCCCTATCGGGAAATCAAGAAATTTCTGAACCAAAAACTCGTTTTAAAGCTCTAAATCGATAAATCACGATGAATGGATGGATTAGGCATAACTTACGGAATTTTTGGATCAGTAGAGCTCAAGAATTGAGCTTGGAAAAGTTTCCTAGAAGTTCCCTGTCCGCGGCTCTGCTTGCTCTGGTTTCTCTCGGTCCAAATAAATGGAAAGAAAGAACAGATATGGATGGATGGAAAAGAAGGGTTGTGGGAATTAAATGGACCGGCGAATGTTTATATATATATTATATATAATATATATATATTATATATATATAATATATATATATATATAATTAATACGTATACTTATCCGATCGATTGATAATCCGATTTTCGTCGAAATAGTGTCGAAATGCTCGATTTTAAATCGCAAAATTTCTAGCGATCGAAATATGGGTTTTGCCGGAATGGGATGTTACAATTCTCCCCTCCTTAAAAGATTTCGTCCCCGAAATCTAACCTTGAGTTGATACTACGCATCCACTCGTTCTCCTCCTGGCAGACACTATCACATATATTGTTACTACCTAATTCTTAGGTTAGGAGATCTGAAGTACATAACTAAGCACATAACACCTCAAGTTCCCAATATAAGGTTTCAAAAACCTATACTGGGTTATCACAACATAAGCACATCAACAAGTTCAAAACATAACTTAGTAAGCAGGATTGTTAACCTTTAAAGTAGGTTGCCACTAACACAAGGTTATATCAACCTACAAAATGGTTGTCACCAAATCATCCAGATTCATATCTATGTTAAAATCTCTACCACCACAACTCATCTTGTTGGCATAATCTAAAATCAACTGCATTGCATAGCTACCCACCATGCTTCTCGATTGGTTAGTAGAATTTCTAGAACAACTTCTGTGCGAGCTACAAGGAAATATTGGCCATAACTTGATCCACACACCATTAAAAATTTCTGCCAAAATCATTACTTGGACAACAAGATAAAAACTCCACATATTTTCAAAAATCTCTTAAACCGTAAAATTTTCAACATTCCTTCAAATACTCAAAATCATGCTTAACCATATGCAACTGACTATGCAACACATCATCACCTTTGGTCCCAATCCTGGAAAGTTTAGTGCAAATACAGGTATGGAGTACTCCCTCCCCTTTCGAGGGTGATCAATCCTCAAGGGTCAAAGTAACATACCCATAATGCAGAAAACAAACCAGCTCTGATACCAAGCTGTAACACCCTACCCTATACATATTACCTAATCATATTGTTCATACAATTGCAGCGGAATTAATCTCGGGTGTTACACTAATTATCAAAATTTACCCAAATAAAATTTCGACATGAATTACTCGCGTAATGGGCTAACAGTTCTTCCATCTAATCCTGCAAAATCATTCATCAAAATTCATGCAGTCATAGACAAACATATACACTCACTGCCATATGCATTGGCTTTTCATAGCCATATTCACACTTTCGTACTCTGCAACTACATACCATACTTATACAAGTCATAATCGTCACAACTTACACCACCACACACATATAATCAACTTTCCACACCTGTGGATATCTCACACTACATCAAAAGCTAATATGCACATGAAAATGTTCTGAAAACATTTTTTACAAAAAGGTGTGGATCACTGGCCAAAATCTCAAGTAGTCGTCCAAGCACAGAATAGTTGAAGACCATACCTCATCTTGACTTCAACTCTAGCTACTCTCCCACCTAACACCTATCTACTGCTGCTGCTGATGATCTACTTACACATAGCATAAGCAGAGAAAAAGAATAAAAGAGGGTCAGCTCATAGCTGAGTGAGATAATCATTGCATAGTGAGTTCATAACAAAGCATACCCCTACCATACATCTAGCAAACAAGCCAAAGCACTAGGATCAGACCTCAGGCATCCGACATCCCAATAGGCAAAAGACTCAACCACCTTGACTTATGCATATGCATCTTATCATGTTTTACTTATAGGCGCCTGGCTACTCCCATGCTAATTACTCTCCCGGGAATACGGACCAAACATCTCGTGGATGTGGTCATATCGGACCCACCACTGCCGGTGTAGTCATATCGGACCTGACACCACCATGGGTGTGGTCATATCGGACTCAACACCACTCTGGGTGTGGTCATATCTCATGATGAATCAACGGTCAACACCACATCAGGGGTGTGACATAACATATCATAACGGAGTAATAGCATGGGGAGCCCTAATTACTATGTAATTGACCATGAGACCAAATCACTCTTGTTTGGTAATCTTATACATGATCCATATCTCATCTTGCTTAATCATAATTCGTTACTAGCACATGAACTTGACCTGGCCATAATTGGCTCAACATAGGTAAATCAGGAGTCGTATAATTGCACTTCCTCGGGATAAACCCTCGTGCAAGTCATCCTCCTTAAACATCATAATATCACCAGGGAATATATATTTTCCCACTTGTGCATCCAATTACAACAATCATGAAAAATCATACCTAATCACCTTCTCGAACCATCGTAAAGCATATTAACAGTCAAGCCCACAATTTGCAACATATACACAATCATCAGCATAAACAAGGTTCATATCGATTAGGGCAAGTCAATAATATCATACAGCAATCCAGGGTTCAACATATAGCACAAAAGTTCATACACCCCTAATCATGCCATTCTAGTTCACCTAGATCCATTCTAAGCATCAATATAATTATCGTGATATGACAAACCCGGTATGCCGTGCTAATCCCTCACCAGTTCTGGTCGTTCAAACACCGATTTAAGCTTCCCGTACTAAAACGTCAATTTCACGAACGAACCCCGAATTAAAATCCGAGACCGCCCTAATATCCCCTGCAGTATCGCCGTCAATATTCGTTATAGGCTCCGGGTCAAATTCTTGATAAAAATACATCAAACCCTGGCCGGAGCTAAATTCAGCGGTTTGGACCCCGGCCTAAATAATAGCCGAAATTCAGGGATTAAAACTGGAGGATTGATTACCTCGCTGCAGGAAGCTCGTATTTGAAATTTGGGCTCAATCCGGCTTCCGGATACTCCGAAACCCTAATTTGCCCTATCGGGAAATCAAGAAATTTCTGAACCAAAAACTCGTTTTAAAGCTCTAAATCGATAAATCACGATGAATGGATGGATTAGGCATAACTTACGGAATTTTTGGATCAGTAGAGCTCAAGAATTGAGCTTGGAAAAGTTTCCTAGAAGTTCCCTGTCCGCGGCTCTGCTTGCTCTGGTTTCTCTCGGTCCAAATAAATGGAAAGAAAGAACAGATATGGATGGATGGAAAAGAAGGGTTGTGGGAATTAAATGGACCGGCGAATGTTTATATATATATTATATATAATATATATATATTATATATATATAATATATATATATATATAATTAATACGTATACTTATCCGATCGATTGATAATCCGATTTTCGTCGAAATAGTGTCGAAATGCTCGATTTTAAATCGCAAAATTTCTAGCGATCGAAATATGGGTTTTGCCGGAATGGGATGTTACACCCAACTTGCAAAAATAAATTGTCATTGGGTTGAAGATGAGAGTGGAATGGTGAAGATGATTTGGTTTCGTGATACCATTGTTGACTTTAATCCGAAGATCACAGAAACTTGAGTAGATTTTCTTACTCCGATAAATCTCTTTTGTAGTATTTAAGAAAATATTAAGAGCGAGATCCAACAAAATTATTTTAATTAATTTTAAATTAATTATATAAGCAAGCAAAAGAATCTCTCTAGACTCAATTATTGTTCTTGTAAGCATGCTAACTATTGGTCTTAATTTTGGGTAGGTATGGAGGAGATATAATTTTATATAGTTTACTATATAAGAACTACCTTTTTCTTAATATTTTGTGCCCTCTCTCTCTTTATATATATTACCACTTGCAAGTGACTAAAATTGTTCATTTCCTTTGTCCCTTGCTTGGGTTTATGATTTATTTATTTCAGTGGATAATATATTATAATATTTTCACTTTGGACACAAGTCTTAAAACAGTAAAATGCTGTGAAAATTATAGTTTTCCAACATATTTTCAAACAAAACTCATATGCGAATAACAAAACAGTAGAATGATCAAATCTGACTATCATCGTGAGTAAAAGTTCGTCGCATATGCGAATTAAAAAACTCATTATTTCACATTCTAACAAACTAAAACTCTCATGAAATTTATCCTCTAGCACCTCATATAGAGCAAGAGATCAAAACTAGAGCAAATGACAAGGGACATTTTAGTTTATTATAGTTGCATGAAACATGAATGCTGTCAGCTCCCTCAATAGATTAATCAATATATATATCAAATTCAATGAGCAAATGAGAACAAAGAATGAGTTGGAAAATTTGTGGAATCTGAACAACAATCTTTGACTAACATAATCACGGGTTCTCATAAAGAAAAAGGATGACAATTATTAATATTTTTAAAAAATTAAGAACACAATAGAGAGTCACTCTGGCCCAATGATTATAAAAAAAAAAACCCAATGATATATTAATGTTTCGAGATACAAATTCAACTTGTACTATAATGTTAAAAGTACAAAATTTAGTTTGCATCATAACAAATTTTGTATCTTTATTTTATAGTACAACTTCGATTTGTACTATAATAAAATTTGTACAATAACCTTAAAGGTACAAGTTTGTACGTATGCTCCAAAATGACCCACAACTTTATCTAGTTGAACAACAATTGGTCTTCAACATAAAAATCTCCAATTCGAATTCATTAAATAACACCTAATTATAAAAATAAACTTATATCTAGGGATGACAATTTTGACCTGACCCGTTTTACCCGACCTGTTTGACCTGTTTTGGGGCGGGTCCGACCCGCCCCGTAGGCGGGGCGGGGGCGGGCATGGGTAGTCTCATCGACCCGACCTGCCCTGACCCGCCCCATTCTCGACCTGTTCTTGTCTATTTTACATGTAATCTTAGTTAAATTACTTTGAATTTTCCTTTTATTGCATCATATTTTAGCTATAATAAAGTTGTAAATTAGTGAAAACCTCAATTTCTCCAATAATTTAACTACAATTGTCATAATATTGTTTGTTTTCTTAGTCTTATAATAAAAATAACGAATATTTCTAATGTTTTTCATATAAATTGCATACCCATTGGGTCGACCTGCCCCGACCCGCGACCCGTGATCAATTACCCGACTTAGACCCGCCCTGCCACGGGGCGGGTCTGGGTACCTAGAAACCCGCCCCGGACCTGCCCCATTGCCATTCCTACTTATATCACTCTTATAAAAACTCAATCATATCTATTTTTTAAACCAAATCACCGATATACTATTATAAAATTCCATCTTAAAAAACAGTAAAAGACAGGCAGGAAACCCTGCTCTGTTTTGCGGTGGATTATTAGTTGGAAGCAGTTGCTCGTTTCTCTTGTCTTGTAGCTGGGCATATAACTATATATTCTTTGATAAATACGATAATAATAATTTAATAGTTGTCCATTATGCCATTGTAAATACCGTATTAAACTAAGCATAATGGGGGCTCTAAACACCGTTTTCTTATTTAGTTTCATTAATATAAAACATTTCACTGCCTCTTCGAGATCTCCATGTAGCACTGTAAAACATTTCATTGCTAACAGATTGAGAATGGCCGGGAGGAAAAGAGAAAAGACGTGTAATTGAATTCAATTGGAATAAGATATCATAATGAACAATTGTGTTGTTTGTATTTGGGGCTTTGTTTTTATATTGTGATTCAACCAACTGAACCACCGATTCCTAAACTACCGATCTAGTTCTAAAATGGAGCGGAATCATGAAAGCGAGGTCAGTTCCCTTAACACATTTATCGACAAATTAGAACGATTAATTCTTATCATCCAACAATTCCAAATGAAAAATACCATGTATGTTGAGAGACACACTAATTCCTCTATAAAAACGTGTTGCTTGGTGATTTAGTTTCCTCGTTTCAAAAGTCCACCATGGTTAATAGCTCTGCAGTAATTACACTATTACAGCATCTAAACTGTGATTAGCGTGAAATTTGAGTAAGGTATCTGGAGTCACCTTTACACAAACCTTTGCCTAATATAAAGTCATTTGACCGTAGACTTTTACGTACGATTAAATATATAGTTTATATATGAAAAAAAAAACTTTAGAACAAGTTAGCATATAAATATACACGTGTCACCAGTATAATAACTAGCAAAGCTTAATATAATCACGTTAAAAACTTGAAATCGACTTGAAAGGAATCAGATGCGGCTTCTCGGAGCAGATCGTTATTTAGCATGGAACTATATGTATAGTTAATTGCCAAAAGATAAATTCTTAATACATAATTAAGGATTAATTAAGTTCGATGGCCATAGCACAGCTAGCTACGTAAGAAGACACTATACATAATAATTTTTAATCAGACATTAGATTATTGTGATTATTTTATTAAACAATCGCGGCGAATTTAACCACAAATAGGCTGAAAAGCCGCATTGTTGGCAAAAACAATTGATGGGATGATATATATAAAAATTAAAATCTATTGTTCTGTTCATAATAGAATCAAGTGGCGATCACTGGCAGGCAAGTGCCCTTTTGATTAGAATAAGCATATATTTGAAGGGATCTACAGTTGTCACTCTTAGTGTTTGATAAATTATTATGAATTTAGTTAATATAAACTTTAGTAAAGAACAATTGTTTGTCGAGAAACTATGATACCTAAGAATTTGTCCCCATTAAAATTTTTGGAATAACATAATTACTATTGGGCTCACTTTGTTCGGATTCACCGTTTATGTCAAAATTTACCGTTGAAAACTCTCGGAACCATGAAGTCGTGCATATACTCGAGTTTTGAGTATGCACTTGATTGTTTAATGATCGATATATGATGAAGTAAAACAAAAGATATCATACATGTAAATACTTAGCAATTAATGCCCTGATCATTTCCCTTCTCTCGCAACTAGATTTTCCGAGCAAAATTTTTGTAATCAAATGTAGCAAGTTGCTGATGAACAATGGATCTTGACAATCGTGAATTGACGAAATGTGGTATGGATTAGATGGTAGATTAGAGAAGAGATAAAATAAATATAGATATGAGAAGGGAATTGAGAAGAGTTGAAGAAGAATTAGGAAATAATTGAGTACGAGACGAGCTACAGGAAGAAGAGAGTCAGAAAGAGTGTCGAAGATAACTGGAATATTATTGTTATTCGAATTTTGGATGGTTAAATTATCCATATAGAATACAACCCAACCCTAATTGCTAATTAAATAATAAAATTTCCCAAACTACCTTATGTCATTAACTTAACACAAACTAATCCCACCTAATGCGCCGCTAGTCGCCGCCGCAAGAACGTCACCGACAACCACAAAACTGTCGGTAGTGGTTAAGAACTTGGAGGGCAAATTGATGATATGGTGGCCGTTTGGTTAGTTGAGAAGTCGGCTTCCTTTCACTCATGGTAAAGGCCGAGAAAAGGGATTAGAAGAATCAAGAAAAAAAATTAAGGGAAAGGACGCTAAATTTTTTTTTTATTCAATTAACCTTTCTCGTTTCTCAACTGCCGCCAAGATGGTGAATAATATAATTCCCTCTTATAACTCCACTTCGCATTTTCTATTCATGAATTTGATTCACTCGAGAGAAGGTTTAGGTTGCTAAATATTGCTTTATTGTTATAAAAATTATTTGGTGGTCGTTGAATTAAATTTAATTGGGCAGTCGTGTGATGTTTGTCATCTTAATTTCTTCCACCCTTCTTCCCAAATTCGCAATTGGCTTCTTTGTAATTATTGAGTGAGTCATGTGGATGATTCTTGATTGATTACGTTGATCATATATATTAATTCATGTAACTTATTCGTCATGGTTTATTTTGTATTATGATGCATAACTTACTTTGGTTGAATGATTTCATATTTAAAAGATTAACGAGTTTATGATGGACCATTATTGCCCATTTTTTTGGTCTAGAATGAACATGACTGTTCGAAGTCAATATGTGCTCGATCGGACGCTCAACTAATACGTCAAGCATTTAAGCATGCAATCAATCAGTAAAATGTCGGAGGATGCTAAATTCATGAACATGACTTACAAATTTCATATATATTCCGACAAATTTAATCGACGAAGAATAACCCTATAAACAAAACTCTAATTCTGTCTCCCCTTTTCCTTTCCCCAAATAACTTCTATAACTGCATACTCATAAGGCTCTCAACCTCTCCTTGTGAGTAAAAGACTTCTCCTATCCACAAATCATCCTTTAGTTAAATCACAACCCAAGTCTGACTATATATAATGTCTTCTTTAGAAATCAAATGACCCACCATCCTAATTCAATACTCTCCAAAGCTACTCACCACTAAACACTAATTAATGCATAAACAGAATATTCTTTCAAATATTATAAGAGATTTTTAAAAGATTAATCATGAAACCTTATTGAAAGGTCCTCGCAGCAAATTAAAAATTTAATAAATTGTGATGGACACAATTTCCCCTTTTATAAACAGCATCAAACACACCTTAATCACGTCTCTTGAGAACTGTTAATGTCCTCCACCAACCCACCCAACTGAACTCCATATGATTGTTTCCTCATGGTCACAGTCTTGCAGAAAATGAAGGTGCGGATTATCTCACTTTTTATCAACATTAGAAAGTCAAAACTTGTTGGTTCTTTTATAATGATACTCCAATGCCTTATAGATACACTATCCATGTCCTATAATAATTTTTTTTTACAATATTTTTTTTTATCTTAGAACATATATTGTTCAACAGTAGAATTGGCCATCTTTCAAAGATTTAGATTCAATCACGAAAAAATTATTTACAAATCATTGTTTTCAGTCATTTATGACTTCAAATCCTTTCCGTTTCGCCGTTGCTCAATGGTTTTGGATTCAATCCCTATTATTCAATCTTCCCCAAAAACCAACCACTCAAACATGTTGCGGTTACTTAAACCGTGTTAGTATTGGACCTTGTTGGGCTGGGCCTCGTCTGATTGTTGGATTAGGGTTTTAACCCTAAGTTTATCTATATAAGCTTAGCTATCGACTTGTGTGATAGCAAGCCGTCAAGATGTAATCCTAATAAGAGATCAGCCGTGAGCTCTTATGAGCTCACCGTGGATTAGTCTCGATCGATCGAGGATACCACGTAAAACTCTTGTGTTCTGTGTTCGTTTCAATTCCGCATCATCAAATTTTTCAAAACAAACTTATTTGAATGAATTCGGTTGCAACATCTGAATTCTGGTCCTACAGTTCTGAAGTTTGATAGGGGCAAAAAAAAAAAAAAAAAAAAAAACAAAGGAAGAATCAGAATCGATAGAGAAGTGAAGGGTCAACGTGGGTGGTAAAGTTTGGTTGTGGCCTGTGGGACAAAAGCTCAGTTTGGCCCTGTTGTAGCTTTTGCAGAAGCAGCTTCTGGCTGTAGCTTTTAGAGAAGTACTTTTCAAAAAAAGCAGTTGAGTGTTTGGCTGAAAAACTATTAGAAGTGCTTTTTAATATGAGAGGTTATGTAAAATGACTATAAAGGATTTAAAATATAAAATATGAATAAAAATTATAAACAATAAAAAGTAGTCAATATGGATCTTGTTAGATTTCTTTTATATTAAATAATATGATTTTATAATTTATTTTATTTTTATAATGATTGAAATGAAATAAAATTATATTTTCTGAAATAAGATTAAAATATGGTAAGGATAATCTTGTATTTTCAGAACAGCTTTTCGCAGAAGCTCCAAATCGGAGCTTCTGCTTTTATGTTATACAAAAGCACTTTTCAGCTTTTCAAAAGCCGAGCTTTTAGAGGTGTTTGGCCCTGCTTCAGCTTTTGAAGCCGAAAAGCACTTCTAAAAGCCGGGCCAAACATAGGCAAAGTAAGGGAGCGTGCTGAGATTCCTATTTCAACAAACACATAAAATGAGTATTCAGTACTACTACTGCTCCACCTGTGTGTCCACTGTTAACTGTGGTAGGTAGCTCTACCACTCAAAAGAGGGAAGTAAAAGATATTCCACATGCTCCTTTCTTCATTCTTTCTTGGTGTAAAGTTGATATCACACCTACCCCCTTACTCTATTGACCATGATTGTCAGGCTGGTGACATGCCAGTCGGTTGAATCTGGTTGAATCGGTGTCGGTCATAAAACTGGCATAAATATCACTAGTATGACCGTCACGATCGATTTACAAATTCTTAGTAAGATAATGTCGTTTTAGTAAGTTTGATTAATAAATAATGAATTTATTGTATATTTTATGAATATAAAATATAAAAGTTGCTCTAATTTGTAGAATTCAGGTATAAACGTTTAGAATCTAACGTTAAATGTTGTATTTAAACATGAATATTTGTTATTTTATTTGAAATGTCGTATTTTATTAAGCCGACATGAACCTGCACAAACTGATTATATACAACTGGTGTACAATTCCACTCGATGTTCACATCCTTTCCCTTTGTTTATTTTCTTGGGCCCATTTCTGCAGAAGCAAGGCAAATATATTAATAACTTCCTTCTTCTTGTTCCTCCATCTGGCCCATCCAAGGCAAACCTGTTCTAGCTCTACTGTGACCATCTGTCTTTCTCTGCTTTTCTTCCTAGTCCAGTTTTGTCATTGTGCCCCCTATTACAATACAAGCACACTTTCTATGTTTAGTACTGTACATTTGCCTGTCCAAATAGAGGGAAAAGCTGACGTGGACATGGATTTGCCTGCCATTTCCTCCCTCAAAGAGTGAGCTACTTTACGGCACACCTTGTATAAGCACATGGCTTGGACGAGCTTGTTGGACTTGGGTGTTTGAGTGATCCATAGCTTTTAGCTTGTCTGATTTAGAAAAGTTTCAAGAGCGCTTGGTTCCAAGAAGCCCAGCCCAATCGTCGAGAACCCAATTCGATAACAGGGTACATTGCTAAATCTGTTTCTTCAGTGCCCGGCAAAGCAATTCATGTAGAGGAGGGGTCCAAAAGAAAGAAAGACCAAGTACTGCATTGCACATAGCAAATGGCAAGAGGCATGGTGCTGCATTTCTTCTCCCTGGCACTCAAATGCATCGTCGTTATACAAATGAAATGATGAGGGGAACACAAGGTGAAGTCAGAAACCATCTGAAAATGATGAAGCAAAGGAACTCCTGGCGAGAGAGAAATGCCGGTTGGTCATAGTTCTGTGTCAAAGACACGAACCATCAAATTGGACAGCATCGTTCGGGCGAAAGGAATGTAGCTCAAACTGTACCTGAAACCCAACGAAGATAACACTTTCGAAAAAGCATTCTGCATATTTTACTATACAAACACAAAATGAAGAAGCTTCATTTAAGTATATGCAAAATCACCTCCATTCTTCCACTAACAAGGAAAAGACAAACTTACCAAATCAGGGCACATATTTCACATACTATAGCAATCAATGTCAAAATCTTGTTGTGGATCTGCATTGTTAAACAAGGAGAGAAAACTTAAGGTGGATTCGGTGTTCGATTAAACGTTGCAGGCAGATTCAATGTTTCAGCCTTTCAGGTGAGCAGGTAATGCGAACTTACCAAAAGGGCGCAGATAAGTGATATTACGACGCATCCAAGGTATATGGAAGTTGCATACACACGGGTGGAGTCAAACATCATGGTCAGTTGCTGCCCAGTTCCAATGAGAAAGGCTGTGCTGTCAAACAATGGAAACACAATACACGTTTAGTTGATTTGATTTGATTTCTTCACCTATTGAAGGAAGGAAGGGAAAGAGTTCAAAATGCAGACTTACCTTCCAACAGCAAATATGTTGCCGAAAGTGAACAACAAGGCAAACTTGATGGGTTTCACAAACACAATCAATGACTGCAGCAACATAGTACCATACAGAGAAAAAAGCCATTAGCAGGTCGAATTTCTGCATAGAAAGATTATGCTTGCATCTTACACATAGTTAGCTCGATGTGTGAAAACTTCTCATAGAGACATTTTGGCATTGACACAGTTCATGAGTAAAATAGAAAAGCATAAAACGCACTGACACAGCTCATTCTTATAGCTGAATAAGCCCCAAATCAGGGCAAGAGTCACTTGCAGAGAGCAGATGACAACCTTTGAATTGGAAATCCCAGAATTTCCAAATTTACAGGCCATCAGCCAATCAAAATCCAATTTTTTTTTTTTTTTTTACAGATGGACTGAAACTCAAAAGGATGGTGGCAGGAATGGTTACCAGAAACATGAAAGCCAGACCAGCAGCAAGGCAAGCCGCGAATGCGTACATTCTCTGCACCAATAGAGAATCCCATCAGCAACTCGGAGTGACATTGATCCTCAAATCAATTGGATCAATCGGGGAACAGAACAGCGGGGATTGTGTGGCGAAGAAGAGCAGAGAGGAAGAACGAAAACCTGCGTTGCAGTGAGGGAACAAGACCCATCTGAATCTTCCTCCAAAAAGCTCTCTGTAACGAATGGGGCTAAAGTGTAAATAGTCAGAAGTGAGGGAGTGAACAGGGAATTAGTCAAGTTGTATAATAGGGGGGCGCCAAGACCGTTGTAATTACTTTTGGCTAATAACAACAGAGCTACTTTCCCTTCTCTCTCTTCTCTCTCTCCCTCCTCTCTACTCTTCCGTCTTCTTCCTCTGATCTCGTCCCAATTCTCTCATTTCCCTCTCATTTCTCCATTGCCAAGCGAATCCAGATCCCCAGGGTGTGACAAGGTGGTATCAGAGCCATTCCTTGGCACAATGACGACGACTCGAGGTTCTATCGACGAGCGCCTTACCAGTTTAATGGCGTCAACAAATCAGGCGCAAGGAGCTCTCGACGACAAAATCGGCCATGTTCAGGCTATGGTGGATTCTCAGACGACTCAGTTACAGGAGATTCGGACTCGTTCGGAGGGCCATTCACAGCAATTTGTTACTTTGACAACTCGACTAGACACCTTGGAAGCTCGATTCGACGATCGTTTCGGTCAATTCACTCAGGAGATTCGCAATCTGTTACAGGTGGTGGTTAATCCCAGGCCAGCGGGAGCCGTTGCCGGTGCGGTGATTCCGCCGGTAGATCGGAATGGCGACCGAGGCATTCTTCCCTTACCTACCACCGTTCTAAGGGGAGCTGATCCTGTGTTGTTACAGATGCCTAGGGTTCAAGCTCAGGTCAATCCAGTGGCCGAAAGGGCACCAATTCAAGGAAATCCAGTTCCAGGCCACGGTAATCATCAGTTTAATCAGCTACCCCGCCTTGATTTTCCGTTTTTCAACGGGGACGATCCTCGTGAGTGGTCGCGGAAGTGCGAGAAGTTGTTCGACATTTATGGAATTCCAGCCGATCAAAAGGTGAATCTGGCGGTGATCTATTTTCAGCGCCGTGCCGATTTGTGGTTCGAAGGGTGGAAGATTGGTAGACGCGAATTGGTATGGGAAGACTTTGTGGCGGCGTTGTGTCAAAGGTTTGGTAATCGCACTTATGGGGGAGTGGTAGCTGAATTCAACAAACTAAGGCAGCAGGGTTCCTTGGCGGATTATCAAGAGAAGTTCGAGGAATTACGCTCTCTCATGGCTCGTTTCAATCCAGCTTTAGATGAAATATACTTCATAAGCAGTTTTATCAGTGGTTTAGCAGAGGAATTGCGGCCTGTGTTACAGATGTGGAATCCTCAATCCCTAGCTGATGCGTTTCAGTTGGCTCAATTACAGGAGGAGACTAACGCTGCTCATCAAAAAAAATGGAGGGTTAACCACGGGAATCCCAACCGTACCTTGGTGGCTTCCAGTAGTACTACAGCTCCACAGTCTCGTCGTTGGGAAGGTTCTGGTGGAAGACATGCTGGTGGGGCTACTTCTCCCATGGTAAACTCGAAGAATAATGGGGCAAGGGGAGTCTGCTATAAGTGTGGGGATAGGTATTTCTTTGGACATGTTTGTGGTGCGAAGAAGCAGTTGAATGTATTGCAGGCTGATGAAGGGGAGTTACACAGTGAAGAGTGGATGGCGTCGGAGGAAGAGGAAGTGGTGGAGCACAGCTTGGAGTCTGGACAGCCTGAACTGGAGGAGGTCTCTATGCAGGCCATTAATAGTGGGGGGGTTGCAAACTCGCTGGTTGTCCAAGGCAGGGTTAAGCACGAGAAGATTTTCATCCTAGTGGACACAGGAAGTACTCATACGTTCCTCAGTGAAAGGAAAGCTCAATCTCTTCACTGTCAGTTAGTTCCAGCTAATCATCCACTTCGGGTTAAGCTTGCTGATGGTACTGTGCTTATCAGTCACTTGGTTTGCAAAGGGTTTTGCTGGGAAATGCAGGGCAGGAAGTTCCAATTTGATATGAGAATTCTGAGTTTGGGTTCGAATGATGTTGTGTTGGGGTTGGATTGGCTCAAAACAATCAGCCCTGTTAAGTTTGATTTCATAGAATTGCGATTGTTCTTTGACTGGGAAGGGCAGGAAGTGATGTTACAGGGGTTGCAGGACTTAGCTCATTGCAAAATGATCTCGGGTAAGCGTTTGCAGAAGTGGTGGGATAATTCTGAAGTGGCTTTTGTAGGTCAGCTTTGTCGATTGGAAGCGGTGGATCAGCTTTGTCATATAGATGGGGCATCGAATTTGGTCAGCCAGGATGTTCCAGAGTTCTTAGCACCTGTTCTTCAGGACTTCAATGATGTGTTTGGTAAACCACAGTCCTTACCCCCCTCGAGGGAGTGTGATCACACGATCCCATTGATGCCTAATGCCCAGCCAGTTAATCTTCGACCCTATAGATATTCCATTCCACAGAAGAACGAGATGGACAGGTTGGTCAAGGAAATGTTGGAGTCCCAATACATTCAGCACAGCAAAAGTCCCTATGCTTCTCCAGTGTTGTTGGTTCTTAAGAAGGATGGATCGTGGCGTTTTTGTGTGGACTACAGGAAGCTAAATGATCTTACCATCAAAGACAAGTTTCCAATACCCGTGATTGACGATCTTTTGGATGAACTCAGGGGTTCTAAATACTTTACCAAGCTCGACCTCTTGTCAGGCTATCATCAGATTAGGATGAGTCCACATGACCAGCACAAGACGGCTTTCAGGACCCATCAGGGCCTGTATGAATTCACAGTGATGCCTTTTGGCCTCACCAATGCCCCTGCAACTTTTCAGGCACTAATGAACAAGATATTCAGTCCCTACCTGAGGAAGTTTATTCTGGTGTTTTTCGACGATATTCTGATTTACAGTCCTGACCAGGACAGTCACAAGCAGCAGCTGGCCGCTGCCCTGAAGATCTTGAGGGAAAATTCTCTCTATGCTAAGCCTTCAAAGTGCGCCTTTGGCCAAACCCAGATTGATTACCTGGGCTATATAATCAATCAGGATGGTGTGACCACAGATCCAGCTAAGATTGCAGCAATGGTTAAGTGGCCAGTGCCAAGAAATGTGAAAGAATTGCGTGGGTTCCTTGGCCTTACTGGTTATTATAGGAAGTTTGTCAAGAATTATGGGGTGATTGGGAAACCTCTCACGGATTTACTGAAGAAAGACAGTTTTGTATGGTCTGATACAGCTCAAATGGCTTTCAATGCACTCAAAAAGGCTATGGTATCTTCTCCTGTTTTGGCTCTACCAGACTTCAGTAAGCAGTTTGTACTCGAGACAGATGCTAGTGAGTTGGGCATAGGTGCTGTGTTATCACAAGAAGGGAGGCCCTTGGCTTACCATAGCCAAGCTTTAGGGCCTCGGAAACAGGGGCTGTCCACTTATGAGAAAGAGTACTTGGCAGTGATCTTGGCAGTGACAAAATGGCGTCACTACTTGGAAGGGAGGCAGTTTAAAATCGTTACAGACCATGAAAGTTTAGAGCACCTCCTTGGGCAGAAGATTCATACACAAATCCAGAAGAAGGGATTGGTGAAACTATTGGGCCTTGATTTTGAAATACAATATCGTCAAGGAAAATTTAATCAAGTAGCAGATGCACTGTCTCGACATCCAAGTTTTGTTAACTCTGTTACTGGTATGGGAAGCTGCTGCCCTGTGACAGCTGTGTTACCAGCGTGGTTGGGTGAGTTGGAGTCTACTTATGCAGAGGATCAGGTGGTTCAGCAGTTAATTACAGAGGCTTCAGTTCCTTTTATTGGAGCTAAGTTGTACTCGTTCTGTCAAGGGTTGCTGTACCATAAGGCAGCCATCTATGTGGGCAGCACTGGAAACATGAGGAATCAGTTGCTACAGTTGTTCCATGACTCACCAGTGGGGGGTCACTCAGGGCTGCAAGCTAGTTATCAGAGGTTGCGACGGTATTTCTGGTGGCCTGGAATCAAATCTGATCTGAAGTCATACATTAGCCATTGTGAAGTTTGTCAGAGGTGCAAAATTGAGAACATTCCATATCCTGGTCTTCTACAGCCCCTACCTATACCTGATCAAGCGTGGAAGCACATTTCTATGGACTTTGTAGACGGTTTGCCCAATTCGAATGGTAAGGAAGCAGTTCTGGTGGTGGTGGATCGTTTCTCTAAGTATGGTCACTTCTTTGGCCTGTCTAAACCATATACAGCAGTGACAATCGCCCAAATCTTTTTTGATGGGGTGTTCAAACTTCATGGAATGCCTACTACAATAGTATCTGACAGGGATGCTATATTTACAAGTTCATTTTGGTCCAAGCTTTTTGAGTTACAAGGTGTGAAGCTGCATTATTCTACGGCCTACCACCCTCAAACAGATGGACAGACAGAGAGGCTCAATCGCTGTTTGGAAGAGTACTTGAGAGGGATGGTCCATTTGTGTCCTCAGAAGTGGGCTGCTTGGTTGACTCTTGCTGAATGGTGGTACAACACCAACTTCCACAGCAGTCTGCAGATTTCTCCTTTTGAAGCTCTCTATGGGTATGCTCCTTCTCACTTCTCCATCCAGAACCCCCTTTCTACTTCTGTGGCAGCAGTGGCGGACCGATTACAGCAGCAACATCGATTGGTTGACGTCTTGCGGAGTAATTTGGCGAAAGCACAAAATAAACAAAAGCAAATGGCCGACGCTCATAGGACTGAACGAACTCTGCAAGTAGGCGATCTGGTCTACCTCAAATTGAGGCCCTATCGCCAGTCGTCAGTTGCGAGCAGGGCTAACCAGAAGCTGGCTCCCAAGTTCTTTGGCCCTTTTCCCATTGTGCAGAAGATAGGCGCTGTTGCTTACAAGTTACAACTTCCAGCGGGTGCTTCCATACATCCAGTGTTCCATGTGTCTCTGTTGAAGAAAGCTAGAGTGAATGATACTCTGCAGGTCCAGCCTTTTCTGCCTACAGTGGATGAGCAGGGGGTGCCTAAGCTGACTCCCATGGCTATTCTAGCTCGTCGTGTGATAGCTCAAGGTAACAAGCCATTAACGCAGGTCCTGGTTCAGTGGTCTCATCAGTCAGAGGAGGACGCCACATGGGAGACATGGACTGATTTTCATGCTCGATTTCCAGATTTTGAAGCTTGAGGACAAGCTTCGTGTGAAGAGGTGGGGAGTTGTAACGAATGGGGCTAAAGTGTAAATAGTCAGAAGTGAGGGAGTGAACAGGGAATTAGTCAAGTTGTATAATAGGGGGGCGCCAAGACCGTTGTAATTACTTTTGGCTAATAACAACAGAGCTACTTTCCCTTCTCTCTCTTCTCTCTCTCCCTCCTCTCTACTCTTCCGTCTTCTTCCTCTGATCTCGTCCCAATTCTCTCATTTCCCTCTCATTTCTCCATTGCCAAGCGAATCCAGATCCCCAGGGTGTGACACTCTCTCCCCTGTCGCCATCCTCATCCCCTGCTATGAACTGCTTCAATTTCCTCATCTTTCTCAGCTCAGCTTGCTCTGCGATTTCCTTTTCTTATCAGTCGATCAAAAAATGAAAAAACCAGAATCTTACAGAGTTGAGGGGCACGCGCCGCGCACTTCCTCTGTTAATTCTACGTTCGAGTGAAATTATTGGTTAGCCCCTGAACTTTTACTAGTTTACGATTCCAATCAGTAAACTTAGATTTTGGTCATAGAAATAGTAATGAAACAAAGACAGTTGCGCTTCGATCCCTTAACCGTCGTCACACACAAGAAAATCCTCAATCCACAATGAAAATTTGATGGTCTATAAGTACATCTTGGCCTATATTTAGTTATTTACTTGGTGAGAGTTTTCTTCTTATAATGAGATTCGATTAAATGTATATCTGGTTTCACTATTTAATCATTCCAATAATTTACGAAGAATGAAGATTAAAATGTGTATAAACCAAGATATTAAGATAATAATATGTCATTGTGTTTAATTGAGTTTATGATGGTAGATTCTTACGTGAAAATATAATGCCTGCAAATCATACTTTAGTAATACAAGTTTTCTTCAATTATTAAGCCCTTATATGGGGCATTGAACAGTCTTTAACGAATCGGGATAATAATTACCAATAAAAATAGGGCTGCTCATTTAGTACCTACTACAGCCCTTTTATCACTAGTTCAACTATTGTTCGACTATTACATTTAGTTGTTTGCTGTACTTTGATCATCTACTTAATTCCATTATCTAAGAAAACAAAAAACAATACCAAGAAAAACTCATATTTAGTGTTAAGACTTTGAGCCTAGAGGCTTAGGAGTTGGGTGAAAATGAAAGTCAAAATTTTACTAGTTTAGGGACTAAAATAACAAAAATTCTCAAGTTCAGAAGCCACATGCTCATTTTGTGTTCCTTTCTTTAGTGGGCAATACTGCACCGTTTCGGTGCTATCTCCGTCAAATGAGAAACGGAATCGGAAAGGAAAACAATTATCTGAGATACTTCGTCGGTCCCCGGAGCCGATTCACTAATTCGACTGCGAGTAGAGTAGTCCGCAGCGAGAAAACCCTAACATCCATTGATATAGCTCTGCAGAAGGAGACCTAGCTGGTCGCCGGGGAACTTCTGCTCAGCAAAGAAGAGGAAGCCGGCCGGAGTCAACCAGGGAAGATGTCTTCCACTCTGCTGGAGACGACTAGGGCGTCTCATGAGGAAGTTGAGCGGCTGGAGCGGCTGATAGTGAAGGAGTTCCAGAACGATCCTACTTCCAGCAAGGACCGTCTCCTGCAGAGCCACCGCGTTCGTAACATGATCGATACGATTGTCTCTACCAGTCATAAATTGGTAATGTCCCCTCTCTCTATCATTTGCAATCGCTCTCTTTCCGAATTTCGACTTTCTTTGGAGAAAAAGCTGAATGTTAGGTTAACTGAATGTAGTAATTGCTTATGGCTGGTTCAGGTTGATATATACGAAGATAAGGATCAAGCTAGGAAGGATGAGATTGCTGCCCTGGGAGGCCAGACGGCTAGTGGAACTAATGTGTTCAGTGCATTTTATGATAGACTGAAAGAGGTAATGTGCTTAACTTGGAATAAGAACATAGTTTAGGTTGTGTTATCTAAATTGATGGTGACCTGATGATACTTGAATTGCGGCTGATGCTCGAAATTGAAGGCTAATGAATCTTGTTGTTTGAAATTTCTTGGTTGTTAGATTCGTGAATACCATAGAAGGCACCCGGCAGCCCGTGTTGTGGACGTGGATGAGCAGTACGAGGCACTGTTGAAAGAAGAACCTGTCATTGAGTTTACTGGCGAGGTATCCCTCTCTCGCTTCCCACTTCCATACCTTTAGCCAGAAATTAGATGAAAGGGCATCATGCATTACATTGAATTATAGGTGCTAGATAGCCTTATTCGAGCTATTGTTACATGGCCATCTTTCCTGTCCTCTAGCTTCATCCTTGCTTTCGGTTTCAGTTCCTACAGACTACTCAGTAAGGCTTTTGAGATGGGCACTCCGTGTCTCTTTATAGGCCAAGTTGGTGGCTCTATTTAGGCATTGAGTTGTCGTGAATCAGTATCTATACATTAGGGTTCATATTGTGCTCAGAACAAAGATTCTTCTGCTTGCAACCCTTATTAGTCAGATTGTTTGAGTGTTGTTTGGCTATGGTAATATCAATTATCCATCTGTGTCATTAGATTAGGTTAGCATCTGGTTTTTCGTAAAGCTTTCCCTTGTTTATTTTGATTCTGGCTCTCATTTGCTCTTTGGGAACAAAATTCACATTTCAGGAAGCCCATGGAAAGTATCTTGACTTGCATGAACTATACAACCAGTACATCAATGCGAAGTTTGGGATGCCCCGTAATGACAAAAAAGAATCCGAAGACTCGCACATTGAGTACTCAACTTATCTCAATCTTTTCAGTCAACCACAGAAAATCGACCGGAAACTCAAGTTGACCATGTAATTTCTCTTTGGTTCCTGGTATCTGCTTGTGTCTACATGGCCGAGCTTGATTTTAATTGTTGCGTTCAACTCAATGGACATGTTTAGTGTTTTGAATTGTTGGTTTTCCGTGATTTCTCATAGTTTTGATTCTTATTTGCAGGCAATACAGGGAATACACACAGAATCTTTTGGAGTATTTGGTCTATTTTTTCCAACGTACAGAACCATTGCAAGATCTTGATAAAATCTTCTCAAAGGTGTGGTAAAATCTTCTGCAATGTGCATTCTTTAGTTTGGGTGTGGTGATACTGCTGTACTGATATATGCACGCTCCTCAATTTCATAATCATACATAGTTCTGTACTTCTGTTATTGATAGCTATTGTACTTTGCATATGCATTATGGGTCCTATAGTTATTGATGCTAAAGTTGTGAGATGTAGTTACTATTTACTAGAAAATATATTTGATAAAACCATTTCTGCATCTTGATAGAATCTCCTCCAAGGTATCTGTAGACATGTTCTGCACTTGATTTTGGGTGGTCATTCTGGTGTTTTAGTGATATGCACTAGCACTTTCTACTTTTCACACGCACACACACATATATGTACATTAAGGGGCATATAATGTATTAAGAAAGTTGAAACTGATTCGTTATAGCTGAATTGTTTCTGTTTTTGTGCTCTGACCACTCGTCAGTATTTGGAGGCATCTGCTTAAACTAGGTGGTTACTTTGATTTCTTCATGATATTGACTCGGTCTCTTCAGTCCCACACTTCTCTAACATTCTACTGTCTTAAACAGGTTGTAACTGAATTTGAAGAGCAGTGGAAAGATGGGAAGGTACCTGGATGGGGGGGAGGTCAGGAAAATGGGCCTGTTCCGGCTCAAGACACCTCAATTGATCTTGATTATTACACCACAGTAGAAGAGCTGATGCAAGTGGGTCTTGAAAAATTGAAGGAAGTAAGTATGTTCTTTTTGCTTCTATGGTTGCTTTTACTAGGATGTGGTTTGCTGCTTGCTCTTCTTTTGGTGGGTAATTTTTTTTGTGAGTGATTCTCTTGCATCTTGTACACCAAATAGTAATTTGACATGGTACTATTAATTGTCAGTACCATTACTTGGTTCTGACCCTACATTCTTGCTGCAATGGAGCCTTTAATTTAGAAAATGCAAATAAGAAGAGGACAAATGAATGATTCCATACAACAAAAGTTGCTTACTTGCTTACAGTCTACTTCTTTCTTATTTTAGCTTTAGGTGTCTTACTTTTGTGGATGTCGAAACTTCGGATTTTCGTTGATACTTGCTTGATATATTTTCATTTGTCAGGCATTGGCTTCATTGGGATTAAAGACTGGAGGCACTCTTCAGCAGCGTGCAGAAAGACTTTTCCTCACAAAGGTTGCTTTCTTACTCTTGCCTTACACTTGCCTACTTTTGTTGTCCTGTATCTCATTCTCTGCTAACTATATAACTAAGGTGTTTCTTTCCTTGCAAGTCATATGCTGTAATTGATAGTTCTTATATGTCCTATTTTATCATTTGCAGCACACTCCTCTGGAAAAATTGGAGAAGAAGCATTTTGCCAAAGGTTCACGATTACCAGTACAGAATGGAGCTGCTGCTTTGAAGGAGAACATCAACTCAAAGGAAGTTGCTTTGATGGAGGCCAAAGTCATCAAACTGTGTACCTTATTGAGTGAGGTTTGTCTCTAATGCGCAGTGCCTTTTTTCTTCATGCATACTTTCTGGATTTTGAAGCCTGCAAATTGCACATTACCTTGCATTTTGCCAAAGCTTGAAGTACTTTCCCCCCTTCTTCTGGATGGCAATATTTAATTATGGTTCTTTCACGAACCTTTTCAGACAATCGAAAGGACAAAAGAGAATGTTGAGAAGAAGCAGGCTTTGACATACGAGGAAATGGAATCAGAACGTCAGGAGGTAAAGCTCTATTACTATTACTATTACTATTACTATTATTATTATTATTATGATGATGATGATGATGATGATGAACCTTCCTTGGGATCCTTTCATTCTTTCTTTTGCTCTAGGTTTCCTCTTTTTTGCTTTGTCATGCATCTTGTAGTTGCAAGCTGACTGATGGTTAACTGTTGTTGTGGCAGGAGGAGATGCAAGCAGAAAGTGAAAGTGACGATGATGACCAACAAATTTACAACCCTCTCAAGTTGCCCATGGGTTGGGATGGAAAGCCTATCCCATACTGGCTGTATAAGCTTCACGGTCTCGGCCAGGTACTCTCTTAGCTATGAACTGTGACACAGTCAAGCATATTCATCTGCTTTTTAGCTGCTCTGCCCAACTCGCATATAGCCTAGTATCATATTATGACCGTATATTATATAACGGTAGACCTGTTCTTTTCTGGTTTTGATGGACGTGTTCTTGTATTTTGGGTTTTAAAATCGCTATCTGCTAATTTCCTTTCGCCCCTGCAGGAATTCAAGTGTGAGATCTGTGGTAACTACAGTTACTGGGGCCGTAGAGCTTATGAGCGGCACTTCAAGGAGTTTAGGCATCAACATGGGATGCGTTGCCTAAACATTCCAAACACCAAGAACTTCAACGAGATCACATCCATTGAAGTACGATCTTACTTCAGCATTACCATTTTTGTCTTGTCTTTTTTTTTTTCTTTCAAAAGTGTAAAACATCTCTTCTCTCGACGCAGGAAGCAAAGGAGTTATGGAAAAGGATTCAAGCCCGACAAGGAATAAATAAGTGGCGCCCGGATCTTGAAGAAGAGTACGAGGACAAGGAAGGCAACATCTATAACAAGAAGACCTTCACCGATCTGCAGCGTCAGGGTTTGATCTGAGTCTGACTATGCCCTGCCTGTGGAAGAAACTTGGCTGTGCTGCTCTTCTATTGTACCAACTTTTGCTTCTCATTGTTTGTTAACCACCTCAGCCAACCACTTTGTAATGATCTATTGTTAGCTACAGCTGTAGAATTTCCTGTGTATTTCTGAAACCCAAGTTTTGGTACAAAACTTGCCATAAAAAGAAGAAAATAGTTTTGGTACGAGACTTAGTTTCATCCTCTCTTCTTCTTCCTTCATTTTCGTAACATCTACTGTCCAGGCTTATTGTGTATGGATTATGCAGAAGTCTGTCCTCGAAATTTTGCCAGCAATGTTGGCATGAAAGTTCAGCCGGGATGCGAATGGTCATAGTCCCGTTTCTAGTTCAAGAATTGTGTGCAATCTGTAAGAGATGTCGATTGTTTTGAGCTACATGAATATGTACACAAACTGTACATTCAAATTTCATTCTAACCAAATCACCTTCTGCTATCTACACACTTCTTACTGATCCAAACAAGACCTAGCAAACAACAAGGCCGACCCATTCACTCCACGAAGCACCAGATGCCTAGCGTCAACAAACGTCCCACACACAATCCTCGACAAATCGAACATCTCTGGAGGCAACTGGATTCGGACCTCCCGAAGTGCATCTCGTGCCTGAACCACATTTCCACGACCCTTCTCTCCATCGTCAAACGTCATTGTGATGTCAACATTCTCACCCGAAGCAAGCTTCGCCACACGGAGGCTCGATGGGAACTCCTTAAATGGCAGGGCTTTCCTCCATCTCCCGGCTAGTAACTTGGGGGCCAGGGAATCCATATCGGTAGATTCCCCGAATGAGAATCTCCCGCTGGTGGTGTTCTTTTCTCCCTTGAGGTACAGCCGTTTCCCTGACATTAGTTCAGTTTGATTTTATATGGAAGTGATGGATATGAAAGCGCTTGCCTACCTTTGGCTTGGAATTAGGATTGAGCATCTCCATCAGTTCAATGAAATACGAAAATCCTGTTTCGCTATTATAGCAAAAGTACCACAAGTTAGCCTGCTCTGTTTATAAATACCAAAAGGTTTGTAACACCATTGATATAATAAGGGCGAAAACAAGTGGGGATTACCTGAGGCCTACTGTAAATGTATTCCTCTATAATTCGCACAGCAGTTGAGCCGAGACCCCATCGAATGATATCCATGGATGGAGTAATACGCCATCTGGGTCCGCACAGAAATGGATGCCTAAGAGCATCCAAACAGCTGCAAAAGAGAAGCCAGCCTTGGAAGGAATTTACGAGATCCGGCGAAGGAGAAGGATACGAAACGGAGCTGGCAAAGGCAGGAATATACAAAGAACAGAGAGGAGACAGGGAGGAGTTAAGAACGAGAAGAAGAAAAAAAATAACGAAGGCGGCGGCGGCGGACGGTGGGTGGCCGGCGAGAGCTTTGTTATTGGGGAGCGTTTGGGGTAAACGTTGAGAGAGGCAGAGGAGCAACAATATGGTTATTCTACTAACTCGGTAAGTGGTTAGTAGATACTAACACGGTCGGATTTCAGGTCGCGTCGCCAAGCCATGATTGGAGGGAGTGGGCTTGCGGGCGCCGTTGTGTGATGGGCAAGAGAGGGCCAGCTCGGACAGACCCAAGCCGAGCCATTTTTGATTGGGAAAAGTGGGTCCACAATTGAAAAAAAAATCCCAAAATTTTCATACCCAAACCCTATTCTCTCTCTCTCTCAACCCGCGTTTTTCATTCTCTCCACTCTCTCCAGTCTCCATAAACATTTTGTTCCTCTCCCTCTCTCCGTTTTTTCTTCTCCCGACGAGGAAGAAGTTTTGGAAGGGTTTCGCTGTCCTTGAAGAAAGAAGACGTCGCCGACGAAAAAGGAAGGCGCCGCCGAAGACAGCGCCGCTGCTGGTAGTGGGAGGTAGAAGACGACTGCAAGGAGGACGCTTTTATTCAGGTTGCCGTCTTCTCCTCTCCTTGTTGTTGATTTTGTTTGTGGATACTAAGTTAGGGTTTCATGGATTTTTTTGTTGAGATCTGGGTTTCGTTTATCGATTTCAAAATTTAGGGTTCATGCGATTCGAGGGTTTAGGGTTTCATTTCTCGATTTGTAGATTTAGGGTTTCATGGATTCGAATATGGGTGCTTAGGGTTTTGTTTCTAGATTACCATATTTAGGTGTCGTGCGATTCAAATTTGGGGGTTATGGGTTTCGTCTCGATTTGTAGATTTAGGGTTCTAGGATTCGATTTTGGGGTTGTGGATTTTATTTCAAGGTTACCAGATTTAGGGGTTCTCAAATTTCATTTTGGGGGTTGTGGATATTGTTTCCAGATTATCTGATTTAGGGTTTGTTGAATTCGATTTTGGGGAATCTGGGTATCGTTTGTCGATTCCTTGATTTAAGGTTACATGGATATCAGTTTTGTCACTTCCTATACTTGTTCTGGATATCAAGAGACTTATTCTGGTCATTGTGGATATTGGTTCAGTGAATGGGGAGATCGAAAAAGAATCCAAAGCCCTACAATGAGGGTGAAGGATCATCACAGCAGCCACCAGATGAACAACAGCCACATGTTTCATTTCTCACTTCGTTTCTCAATTAGTTATATTGGCTAAAACTATAACTCTGATGTGTCGATATTAGTTTTGTTAGGATGGATATTGTTTTGTGTGTTTTAGTTATTTGTCTGGGAATTATGGATATTTTTCTTAATATATAGCTGTGTTTCAGGAACAACCCGTGAGGAAGAGATCCAAAATGGTTGCATCGAGGTCTCGTCAAGGAGATGGATCATCACAGCATCCGCCGGATGAACAATCACCAAAGGTTTCATTTCTCACTTCGTTTCTCGATTGGTTATTGTTTCCGATACCTTTCAGGGATATCATTTATCTGTGTTTGGATACACTCTTGCTTTAGTATGATAATAATTGGATATATTGGCTAAGAAAACTACTCTGATGTGTCGATATAAGTTCGGTTAGGGTGGATATTTAACTGTACGTTTTAGTTATTTGTCGGGTGATTATAGATATTTTTACATGAATATCATTGATCTCCGTTTGGATACACTCTTTCTTTACTACGATAATAATTGGATATATTGTGGCTAAAAACTAGGGGTGGGCATTGGGTGGGTCGGGTGGATTTTGACCCTAAAATGCACCCACCCGCGCTTAAACGGATTGATAATTTTTAACCCACCACCCACCCACATTTAGTCTCGGGTTGGGTCGGGCGGATGGTGGATGATGCGGGTGGGTTTGTGGGTTCACCCACATCACAATGTATATAATATAAAGGAATCAACTTGACATGATAATAGGCGAAGAGAATCATCGAGGGAAACAAGAAGTTGAAATAGGGCGAAAAATGTCGAATTAGTTCTTAAATTGGATAGAAATTCTATTATGAAAGAGTTTTCTACATATTGAGATGATTATTAGGTGCAAGGAACTAAGGAAAATAATTCCACAAAGGAAAGAGCGGTGATCTAGACACAAGAATTAGAGGAAAAAGTAAAGGGAAGAAGAGGGGATCTCTATTTGGAAGGTTGGCTTTGAGGTTCAAACTCCAGGAGCAGTCCGAGTTTATATCTAACGTCTCCACTCTCCTCTCTCTAGCGCCAACGACTTTGATCTTTTTGCTGTTGGGTTGAGCGGGTCACCCGCACACTCACCCACAACCCACCCACCACCCGGCGGATGGCTCCCAGCGCAACCCATCACCCACCCACAGACCCACCCACTTAACAAAATTCGGGTCAAATGCGGGTGGGTCGGCCCAAACCCGCGGATGATCCGCCCGCATGCCCAGCCCTACTAAAAACTACTACTCTGATGTGCCGATATTAGTTCGGTTAGGGTGGATATATTAACTAAAAACTACTACTCTGATGTGACACGTGTGTACGACCTTCCCCTTCATCCGAATCACATACACGACATGTTTTTTCCACATTTTGAGGCCCATGTTTTTAAGATCTTCACGGACTGGGTCTGTGACTGTGTAGGTTTCTAGTGCAAGATAGATAATACACGGACTTCACGACAAAAGAGACCTTGGGAGTCAAAATGCCAGTTATACCGATCAACAGGTGTAAGGTGGCAAAGAAATATATGAAATGAACGATTCTTGAATGATCACATTTCTAACCACCAAGAGATAAATTGGTCACTCACCCATAACCCCTCAGAGCCAGCAACTACTAACAGCAAATATAGTGTTGTCAAATGGTCAAGTCCCATATACTAAGTGACTCAAAAGCAGGCTTAATAAAAAGTACTAAAAGGCAAACAACCAAGCCCAACCCACCAAGCCTGGCCATCAACTCGACAAACCAATTCATCTTCTTCTTCTTCTTCTTCTCCGGACTTTGAGGTGGAGGAGTCGGCAGAGCAGAGTACTGGTACCGGTGATACCTAACACATATGAGCAAAACACAACACTGAATCGCCAAAGCCATGGCCATAAACCCGTCCGGAATCCAGTACACAAGGCTCTGCATCAGCACGACGACAAGCAGATCCTTCCGGACCCTGACGTCCGGAGAGCACAGGAACGCGAAGAACGCGCCGTAGACCACCACGCTGGCGCTGACAACCAGCGAGAAGAGGTCGATCCGGATGATGAGCAGCCTGTTGGTGAGGTCGCGATCGGAGAAATTGGCGGAATCGTAGTAGTGTCGCGCGAGGAGGGCTGCTTGCAGGCACGCGAGATCGAGCAGGAGCTTGATCCGCCGGCCTAGCGGTTTGTCGGGTCGGGGGCGGACTAGGGCTTCCACCAACGCCTGGAGCGCGAGTGCCGCCGCCATGACGTAGATCTGGAAGAAAGGGGAGAGAAAGATCGGCGCCGAGGTTGCTATGCGGCGTGGCACTACGTATAGTTTGGTGAGGAAGAAGGAGGATGTGGAAACGGTCAGCCCCTTCCTGAAATACTTCTTGCAATAGAGGTCGTCGTCGGTCGTTTTCATGGTTTGGTTGAACGGGAGGTGGATCTGATGAATCAATAATGTTACTGAATGGAAAACTAGGCCATCCATGGTAATTTTACTTAGTAAAAAAAAAAAAAAAAGATAAGATCATGCAACCAACCTGTGAAATTGATGAGATCGGAAAAGCAGAAGCTCCAAAACCCTAATGCAGCCGGCTGCCTTGTGTATCTCCCTCGACCCAGATGGTTTATATAGAGGCCTCAACCCTATTATCTTTTCCGTTATTACTTCGAAAACTATTTAAATATTAGTGTATGATTTAGAAAAGGAAACTAAATCTTATTAAAAAGAAAGAAAGAAAGAAAAGGGAACTGAAACATATTTTAAAATTTTCAACCGCTATATATTCTACCGGCAAAAGTTTAATCGCTCACCTTGATTATACTTTAAATAGAACTCAACCCTATTGTTGTCCCTTATCTCTCTTTTTCTCTTTTTTTTTTTTTTTACTGAATGGCTAAACATCGCCCTAATTTTACTTTTTTCATCCTAACTTAAAATATAAAATTCCTAAACTAACCTTATTTTTTGTTTATCATTAATCGCCAAACTTCGCCCGATTCCTCTCCAAACCCTACTCCGCTGCTCATTTCTTCATATCCATCTCCACCATCAGTCCCTTTGTCCTCAATAATCTAACCCCATCTAATATGCATCCTCCACTCTAGTCAACATTGAGCACTTGCCGAACCCATCTCTGCCAAATAATTCTCATTTGGCCTCCTCTCAATCCCGATCAGTCATCCTGTTCATGTCATTGCTCTGCCTCTCTTCCTTGAGGGTTTCATACGTTCATTTTTTATCACTTGTTGGCTAGAATGAACAAGAAGGATGCATGTTGATTGTGTATATTCTAAACTAGTTGGAAGATGGTTTGAAAGCTTCTTAATTTATAGGGCTAATACCACTAGGAAACCCGAACTATTAACTGTGTGTCATTTGTGTCCTAAAGTATTCGATACGACATTTGTGTCCCAAACTATTTTTCCGTTATAGTTGACTGGCGTTGACCGTTAAGTTTTAACAAAAACTTTAGTCAGCGCTGATGTGGCATCTGACGTGAAATTTATAATATCAATTTATAATATTTTCCATATAAATGAATAACCTAAAACAAAAAAAAATACAAAAAAAAATCTCTCTCTTCCACTCACTCTGATCTCTTCTCCCAGCAGCCATGGCCCCGAAATCCAACGACGGCGGCGGTGGTTACCTCGCTATCTACCAATGGCGTGGTTAGTCACTTTAACGATGGTGCTCTGCCCGTGTCACTCCGCTTCCGCCGCCGCGACGGAGAATCGTCCGAGTCAGCCGGATCTGACTTCGCTCACTAAGGAGCTGCTGCAGATGGCAAGAGAGCCGGAGTTCTTGGGATGGCTGAGAAGCATCCGGAGGACGATCCACGAGGATCCGGAGCTGGCTTTCCAAGAATTCAACACGAGTCAACTGGTGAGATCGGAGCTCGACTCGCCAATTGTAAATCGATTTGGGATTTACTAATTGATTTGGGGATTTAACCTTCCCAACCTCTACCGTCAATTGTAAATCGATTTGGGATTTACCCTTCACTGACGGAGATGGCGGCCACTCTGGTCTGGGCCGCGGACTCTGATGGCGGCGGTGGTGGTCTGGGCCGCTTACTCCTCAATCCTCATCGTCGTCATCATCCTCCCCCCATCGATGTTCTTCCCGTCGCGGCTGACTCAGCTCACTGGCGTCATCATCCTCCCCCATCGACTTCTCCGTCGGAGGGAGACTCAAGCAGAGACTCAAGCTTCCCTCTCCTCCTCCGCAACCGCAGGCGTCTCTTCAACTCCCCCAGCTGATACCCGATTGTGACCCAGGCAAAATCAGAACCCATATCCAAATCGAGAACGCGGGAAGGTAAATCTAGATCAAGCAAACCCTAGATCGTGATCCCTTCATCCGATCCCTGGCCTATCTCCGCCTTCTCCTTCTCCCTCTTATAATCCCCTGCCACCACTGCGCTTTGCTTACTCCGTTCTCAATCTCGTTTTCGATTTTTCTGTTTGTCAAAGACTGTATCTAGCTAGCTGATATGGGGAGCAGTAGCGTCGCGTCGGAGGAGACGGGATAGAGAACTTCCCGCACCTGGATCTGTTCCCGCACCTTGTCCATCTCGTGCTCGATGACCAGCTGGTGCGACGGGATAGAGAACTTCTCGATTCCATCTGCGGCGGCGCTGATGACAATGTCGGTGGTGGAGGCGACATCGAACTGCTGGATTTAGAGGTAAGGCGACGGGGAGGCGACGAATTGATTGTTTGACAGCGGCGGGCGGGGATTGATTGTTCGACAGTGGCGGCCGGAATTGATTGTTTGAGAGAATTCTTGTTTGACAACGACGAAGAGAGCATTCAGCGGCGGCGGGGATTTATGGGCTAGGCGCCGAAGAATTTTTTATTGCATTGATTTTTTTTTCAATTTTAGTTGTTATTTAATTGTTCGGATTGATTCCTTGGGTGAGTTTATATATTTTTTTTAATTTTTAGTTTTTTCAATTTTAGTATTTATTTAATTTTTAATTAAAAATATGAGGTGTCAATGACATGGTATCTACGTGGCTGCCACGTGTTTGCCACGTCAGCAAAAGTCAACATCAAGTTGACCACCGTCTGGTCAACCGTTATATATAACGGTCAACAAAATCGTCAGGACATAAATGACACAAAATTATAATAGTTTGGGACACAATTGTCATATAGAATACTTTATGACACAAATGACACAAAGTTAATAGTTCGGGTTTTCCAATGGTATTAGCCCTAATTTATAAAGCTTCTTGTTATAGGAAGGGGAGTTTATATAGAAGGGGAAAGACTGATTTGTTTTGGGGAAAATTGGGGATTTTTCCTTAAACACATGATCCCTGCTTATCTATGGTGCTCTTGAGCAGCAGGGTCTCGAGGATAGGAAGGAAAGATGAGAGGCGGAAACCGGGAGAAGAGAAAGAGAGGTTGGGAGAAAGGAGAAGAGAGAGTTTCAGCTTTCAACCGAATTTTTGTTGGGTAATTTTTTTAATAAAAAAGGAGAAAAGGGTCATTTTTATTTTAAAAGTCAGGGCGATATAATACTAGTAGGGCGACAATTAGCAATCCCTTTTTTTTATTCCCTCTAGTCTTTGGTATTTTCCTGGTTAAGTGAATTGGAAAACTATTTAAATATTAGTGTATGATAAAACTATTTAAATATTAGTTTATGATACTGACCAATTGTGCTCCCCAATATATTCCACCGGCAAAAGTTACTCGTTGCCACCGGCGGATGCAGGATATAGTAGAGTAGTGGGCCGCATTTTAACTAAAAATTAGATACCATAAACAAACAAACAAAAAAGTATATCTTTCATTAAAATATCAATTGTACACAACGATATTTTAATTGAGCAAATTTATCAATTGTTCACGTATACCATATATCTTGCAACACAAGTCACATATAGGAATCAAATTTAACAAAACATTTAGCAGAAGAAAACACGACTCATGCATAAACCCCGTCCGAGCCAATAGAATTCACTATTTCTCCTTAAGGAATTTAGTTCCCCTCTACGGTACCCAAGATTAATGGAACTATTCCTCCCAGGATAGAACGGACGTATCTTTTCTGGTGTACAGGTATTTGAAACCCCAGAAACCATCGAACGCAACGAACGGCGAGAAATCACACGACTCTGTTTTCTTTTATGTGTTTGTAGAGAGGAGAAGGAAAAAAAATGAATAAGAAAAACTATTTTCATTCTTTCAGCTGAAAATCTCTTGAAAAAATTCATGTATGAAAACAGAGGGGGATGGTGCTATTTATAGAAAATGAAGGGGTGTATGTGAAGGGATGTGACCCTTCGGAGGGGTGGTTACACCTCCAACCAACACATTGGTTCATTTCAAAATTATGAACCATTGCATCGGTTCGCCCATGATAGTTGGACCGGTTGGTTCACTCCAACCGCCACATCGGTTCGGTTCAAATCAATTTGGTCCGGTTGGTTACACAAACCAATTTGACCAATTACCAAATGATTTAATCAAATCAATTGACCGAATCTAATGCATCCTTTCCATATATAACAATATGGTATTTCAAGAGTTTCTCTTTACTCATTCCCCTTTCAATTCCATTCACACCATTAAAAAATCCCAACATCGAGATGATCAAGAAAGATTCTTATAGTTACGTATGGCCGATTGGCCTTACAAGCAAATTCATCACTCATTCTACTACACAAATCAGTTCTTGCATATTTTATTGTTGAAAAGATTATAGCCATCATATTCATATCCGCCACCCAATCCCATATTGCATGGACATGCTGACCACTGCAGCCTGATCCATCTCCAGGAACTGAATTCTTGGGGCTCGGATGAGGAGGCCTGTTCTCCCAAACTCGGCCCATTACCTAAGCCTTTGGGTTTGGTCTCACCAGTCACCAGGAACTGGTGACGGGGTTATGACGATTGCACGTATCACCATTTTTGGCGACACCCACAAATCTACTATGTTTTTTTTTTGGTAGCGTATGCTAGAATCTAACAATCAAGAAGACCATCCAAACCACCAATATATTAACTTTTTTTAGTGACTAAACATGTTCCGATTTTGTAATCTCAGTGGCCAAATGTGTCTTTAACCCTATAGTTTATATATGAAAAAAAAAATTAGAACAAGTTAGCATATAAATATACAAAGTCATCAAACTGTATACATTATGGAGTGAGGTTTGTCTTTAATGCGCAGTACCTTTTTTCTTCATGCATACTTTCCGGATTTTGAAGCCTGCAAATTGCACATTACCTTTCCTGTGTATTTCTGAAATCCAAGTTTTGGTACAAAACTTGCCATAAAAAGAAGAAAATAGTTTTGGTACGAGACTTAATTTCGTCCTCTCTTCTTCGTCCTTCATTTTCGTAACATCTACTGTCCAGGCTGATTGTGTATGGTTTATGCAGAACTCTGTCCTTGAAATTTTGCCAGCAATGTTGGCATGAAAGTTCAGTCTGGATGCGAATGGTCATAGGCCCATTTCTAATTCAAGAATCGTGTGCAATCTGTAAGAGATGTCGATTGTTTTGAACTACATGAATATGTACACAAACTGTACATTCAAATTTCATTCTAACCAAATCACCTTCTGCTATCTACACACTTCTTACTGATCCAAACAAGACCTAGCAAACAACAAAGCCGACCCATTCACTCCACGAAGCACCAGATGCCTAGCGTCAACAAACGTCCCACACACAATCCTCGACAAATCGAACATCTCTGGAGGCAACTGGATTCGGACCTCCCGAAGTGCATCACGTGCCTGAACCACATTTCCACGACCCTTCTCTCCATCGTCAAACGTCATTGTGATGTCGACATTCTCACCCGAAGCAAGCTTCGCCACACGGAGGCTCGATGGGAACTCCTTAAATGGCATGGCCTTCCTCCACCTCCCGGCTAGTAACTTGGGGGCCAGGGAATCCATATCGGTAGATTCCCCGAATGAGAATCTCCCGCTGGTTGTGTTCTTTTCTCCCTTGAGGTACAGCCGTTTCCCTGACATTAGCTTGAATGGAGAGTTCACTTGCAGCTGGCCGTCCACACCGGTCTTATCATGGGGCCAGTCTTGACCGGTCATGACTGTGAAGTCAACGCTAGAAGTGAATGAGAGATCTCTGCTTTGTTTTGATAGTTTGGATACTGTTAGACTGACGTTCCCTATGAGCACTCGCGCGGGTGGCTGGCGAAGGGTTAGTCCCACATGCCTCCCTGTGCAGTATATTAGACGCCATTTTCCTGGTAGCAATTCGAACCAGTTCTGCATATGAAATTGGAGCATAGATAAGTGCTGAATCTAATTTGATTGGTTTCAGTTTGATTTTATATGGAAGTGACGGATATGAAAGTTCTTGCCTACCTTTGGCTTGGAATTAGGATTGAGCATCTCCATCAGTTCAATGAAATACGAAATCCTGTTTCGCTATTATAGCAAATCACAACAAGTTAGCCTGCTCTGTTTATAAATACCAAAAGGTTTCTAACATTTTCCATAAAAAAAGGCTTCTAACATCATTGATATATATCAAAAGGGTGAAAACATGAGGGGGTACCTGAGGCCTACTATAAATGTATTCCTCTATAATTCGCACAGCAGTTGAGCCGAGACCCCATCGAATGATATCCATGGATGGAGTAATACGCCATCTGGGTCCGCACAGAAATGGATGCCTAAGAGCATCCAGACAGCTGCAACGGAAATGATCCAGCTGCTATAGTTAGACAAAAGAGAAGCTAGCCTTTGAATATCATGATGCACTGATGAGATGCTACCTCATTCTTTTGGAAGGTTTAGTTGCAAGTAACGAGGACAGAAGGTTCCAACCTGCACCCCAGTTCCGGTCGAGCATCTACAGAAAACCCAATGAATTCAAATGTTTCACCACTTAATATGAACAATGCTAATTTGGAGGAATATAATATACAACATACTTGGAGTCCGACGTTTCCAGATGAACTACTCCTATTAAGAGTTTGTAACATGAATTCACGCAAGCAGGAAGGATCATGTCCCTGCAATGACGCGTAAATGAGTTGCGTGCGACTCAAGTAAGAAGAATATTAAAAAAGCAGAGATGAGCATATTTAGATTGGATTACATGGTTCACAAAATCTCAATGTACTGTGTTATACCTTTACGAGGAAGGTTTTGAACTTCGAAAATATCAGTGGATCCATGAGTTCTCGTAACACCATTTTTGCCATCATGAATCCCAGGCATCTATACAAAAATTGAATCAGACTGAGATTTACAAGTCTCTTCACAAGCTTTTGCACTCCACACTGATTCTGCATACTATACCTCATGTCAAAGCCAATCATCATCCGTCGCCGATCCATGTTGTTGTCCAATGTAGTATTATTTTGACCATCCTCATAGAAGTCTGCAGCATTACCCAGTATGCCTACCTGTAAGGTTGGAAATGAAATATACATAACAAGTAACAAGAGAAACAACCAAGAAACCAGCATTCTTATAATCACCACATGCCATCATTCTGCTTTGTACAAACTACTAGATTCTTGTCAATTAACATCTAAAATAAAAATTACCAAATCTAGTCGACAAGCAGAATCCAATAATATTTACTTTGATATGTCTATCCACTGGGCTTATATGCACATTCTCCAGCCTCAATTCTGTATGAGCAAGTCCATGACTGTGCAAGTAGTTTACCTGAAGCACAAGGGTAAAACACAATCTTTAATTTCATCACAGGGTAAGTGTCCATTGATATACTTATCTGCATAAATTAAGCATACTCCAATCAAAAGGTCTCTCATCAAGACACGGATGATTCGTAATTTCCTCGAGACTGTCGGCCCCCCAACCGTGTCATCTCCAACCCTTCTGACAGATTCCTCATCCAATGCAAGTGTAGCTTCCAAAGTTGGCAGCCAATCTGACTGATTAAGCCAATGTCTCAAGGAGAAACTTCCATGGTACTGCCATTGAAGGGGGAAAAGAACACAAGGAACAACTAAGAAGTAAGATCTACCCTCTAGTAATTGTTATGCAAAAGACTCAGAGGAGGCAAGGCATCCTACCCCATGGACCAAAGTAAACGAGGCATCGCCAGAGCTTGTCTGTGAGGAAACATAGCCATGAACTTGCATTGAATACGAATGATACATGAGCCTCCGACGAACCAACTTCTTCAACACCTGCAAAGAAATTCTAACAGTAAGTAAATCCATAAGATGATGAATATCCCCATTAAAGCTTCACGCCACATTCAATCCACTAACTCACAAACCTCGATTGCTCGCTTTCCCCTTCTTTGAGCTTGTGTACTCGTAAGCCGCCGCAGCACAACTCTCGTATTGTACAAAGGACTGCAGGCAAAAGAACTCTCATCATGACTGATCAAGCAAATTATCCCGCGAAATAGCTCGAATATAGAGTTCAATACTCACCTCGTCTCATCATCAACCACCGCTTCGAATACTACTTCGTCTCCCTGCAAGATTCCGTCGAAGTTCAAACTTTATAGACAATTGAAGGAAATGTACACATTTGAATTCAATTTTTTTTTTCTTCAAGAAGGAGCATTACCCGCCCGCCAAGGCCAGCGCTAACCCGATCGAGCATCTTGAAATCGGACATTTCGAACCGTATCACATGCCCCAAGTCCTCTTCCTCCAGGAATTCCATCGGGGAAACGGCTCCGCTCGAACCAGCAGAAGAAGAAGACGATGAAGAGGAGAAGCACCTCACAGTCCCCATTCTCCCGCGGGACGAACCACCGGACCTGCTTCTCAATTGACCCCGCCGGATCATCCTCGCCGGCGACAAGCTCCCGCCGAAGCCCACTGCTTCGAATCGCCTTTCGGCCAGAGAAGGGGCCCGCAGCACCGCCGCCATCGGATTGGAGCTCCGGCTATGAGAGTGAGTGATTTTGAGGGAGAGATTATTGGGGAGGAGGAGAGTATAAATGGAAGAGAGAAGTGGCGTGTGAGAGGTGCGTGATGAGACGAGGTCTGAGCGTTTCCGCCATGGGTTTAGCTCGTGTCAACGTCGGCCCCTGCAAATATCTCCAACTCCAGGGACCGTGGTGGGTTGCTTCCTTGCTCGAGCTTCTCGCGTGGTACGGAGGCGTGACTCGTCTTTCTTCGATGGCTCTCTGTCTGTTTCCGTTTTTTGTCACTTGATTTCAACTGTCGGCCTGTTCCCGCGACACGTGGGGATTGGTTGGCGGGCTTTCTCGTTGCCGATGGAAACTAGTTACGAGCCCAAACGTTAATGGGCCGTAAATTATTAGTAAAAGGTAAAGAGAATAAGCCCATATATTCCCCTCAAGGCCCAAATATGCTCTTCTTTTGTATTTGCCGGATTACAGAATCTACCGCGCGGATTCACCCCGCGGGTAAATCTCGGCAAACCTCCCCGGCTCTTTTTACCTCCCAAAGTCGCCGCGGAGTCGTGGGGTTTTAACTTTTAAGTTTAAAACACGCAAGCAGAGATAAACGGGGGCAAAACAAACTACACCTGTTTTTTTTCCAATCCAACTCCCTCTCTCTTCCCCAACACATTTATCTTTCCTTACTCGATCTCTCTTTCTCTCTCTTCCTACTTTCCATTCCGCCATCCCTCGCAATCTATCCCTCCCGCTCCCCGGCGATCTACGCCCTTCGGCCGCCGCCGCTCCCATTGCCGCCGGCTAGGGTTTCGGTGTCTTCTGCTCTTAATTCGTTCGCTGTATGCTCGTCGGCTGTGCAGTTAGGGTTTCGCTTACGGGAGGTTTCCAGAATCGAAGCTCATAACTGTCAGATTCGGTCAGTGGTTGGGAGGAAGATGATGAATTAGGTTTACGGAATTGATTTCAGGAGAACTACGGGGAAGTTGAGTTTCTGTGGCTGCTTGGCGATTAGGTTTTTTTTTTGGCGTATTGGATTTGGAATCGGGGAGAGTCGAGTTCTTAGTGTTTCGCGATGCCGAGGAGTTCGCGCCACAAGTCGAGCAAGCACAGTTCGAAGGATGCGAAGGAGAAGGACTACTCGGATTCGGAGAAGGAGACAAGTTTGAAGGAGCGGAAGTCGAAGGAGGAGAGCGGTTCCGCTAGGGTTTTGAAGGAGTCCGCTGGCTCCGGGGAGAAGCGGAAATTGGATTTGAAGGAGAATAAGGATGGTGTTGGCACTGGAAACGGGGAATATGCGGAGGAATATTCTTCTTCCTCGAAGCGACGGAAGGACAGAGTGGAGGATGGTGGGAGCGACAGGTGGAATGGCGGGGAGGATGGTAAGGGCGAAGTGTCCAAGAAGTTGAAGGAGAAGTTGAGCAGCAAGCGGCGGGAAGAGAGTTCGAGGAGAGATGAAAATGTTGGAAACGGTGCTGGTGAGAGCGAAGAGGTAGTTGGGAGAAGGAGCAGCGGAAAGAGTGAAGGGAAGCATAAGGAGTCGAGTAGCCGAAAGGATGGGGCTGATAGGGACAAGGACAGAGAAAGGGATAGGGAAAGGGAAAGAGATAGGGAGAGGAAGGGTAGAGAGTCAAGGAGCGAGAAGTTGATTGATGGTGAGGACTTGCGTTCTGGAAAGCAGGTCTCTGAAAAAACTGGTAAGGTATCTAGTTGAATAGTGTATGCTATGCTTGATTATGTAGATTGTTGGTTATGTATTGTATGATGATTGTGTGATGCTCTTTTAGATTATTGGTTGTGTAATGATTCAGTGTCAGTGATTTGGTTATGTTCTATTAGGTTGTTGTCTAGTATACGTTGAATCGTAGCTGGTATGGGAAGTGGCATTTTACTATTTGGAGGATGGAAATTGCTTGTCAGTTTTGTTTTGTTTGTGCTAAAGGCGAAAATATAATCTCTGGGCAACTTGGGTCATGTGACAATTTTTGTGTGCTCTCTGTCAGAGAAATAGTGGTAGCTTTTTAGTTCTGTTCTCAGTGCCATGTTGCATGGACAATTGAATTAATTATATGCCAGGAAGTTATTTCTCAGCCATTGAAGACTTAATTCTCTATGTTTCCTCTGGTTTGCTTTTTGGTTGCGTGATTATGTGGTCGATGTCTGTAAGCCTTGTCACAGATATTTTGGTGTGAAGATGATGAAAAATAGCTCTGGATGAAACCCTTTCCTAGTTATTTGTAGCATGTCAATCTTTTAGGTGAAAAGAATAAGTTTATTTTAAGGTAGGCCAAACCTTTGATAATTGTCTGATGATGCCAATTTCCTTATTAATCTTCTTTGAGCCAGCCCTTTCAACGGTCGCCTGCATTAATTCTTTTCAAATGTTTAATTGCAGATTTCTCAGTTATACATCCAGTCTTTATGATGATTTGTTTTCTGTAACTTAAGTGCTACGTTGGGTGAATGCATTACAATATCAGTAGTTCATCTATCTAGTTGGTTGTTTTTTATATGTTGTCGGTGCATGTTTCTATGTGTACTTTTTCCCCCGGTTGACCTGAGCTTTACCCATTTTATTTTTCTTGCTGTAGTGCTCAAAGACACATTGCACGACCCAGAGCCTGAAAACATACCTGAGAAACGCACTAGGAGAAAGAGAGATGGTTCTGGTGATGGTGATAAGTACCAGGATGATGTTACCAAGGATGGAAGATGTAGAGATAAGAACCATGAAGGTGAAACTAGGCATCGGGATGACAAGCAAAGAGATGACCGCGCTTCAAGAGATCATATAAATAGCAAGCACTCTAGGGATGAGCAAGAGGGTACAGGTTCCCGACACAAGAAATCTAAGCCTCAGGACATTGAGTGTGACCGCGATCGGGATAGTGATTATGATCGTGACTGTGATCATGATATTGGCCGTGACCGCGGTTATGAGCGGGGAAGGGACAGTGACCGTCACCGCGAGCGAGTTCGTGATCGGGAAAATGATCGAGACCACGACTGGGAGTGGGATAGAGATCGAGAACGTGACAAGGATCGAGATAGAGATAGAGACCGGGATTATGATTCATTGTATGTTGATGATAGAAGAGATAGGAACAGAGAAAGCAGGTCTAGGAAGAGGTCTCCTGATGATCTTGATGATGATGCAAAATTGAGAAGTAGTAAAGGATCCTATGCAGATGCGGATAATAAATTTTCAATTGGCAGTAGGATTGAAGGAGATGCTGACAGGGGAAGGTCTCAGTCACGCCAATCACACCATGAAAATTTCAGTGGAAGCAGGAGGAGAGCTTCACCAGTCATCAGTTCTCAGGGTGCTGCAGATGAATATAGGTAATCAGGCCACTCAATATTAATTGAATTATGTAGTCAGGCTTGGTTATCCGATTATCTTTTCAGTTCTTTTTTGTTTGCAAAATCCTTTTTTTTTTTCCTTGCTGGAAAACTTTTTAGCTTAAATGCTGTACTTTTCATATTTCTGGTCAGAATAATATGTGGTTGTACTCTTTGTGTTGTGTCAATTTTCACTTTAGATAATCTGATGTTTTCTCCCCTTCATAATAGTGTCATTGATTCTGTTCATGAGGTGACCATAGGATGTAATTGACTGTCTTCCTCTCTTTTCCAGGTATGCAAAAGCAGAAGATGTGAGGTACAGAGATGATGGGCCAGAGCAGAGGCTCAGAACAAATAATTCGAGAGATGCTAGTTTGTTTTCTGGAGGATCGGATAGATCTTCCAAGCTAAGATCCTCTGAGAAACCTGTGAAAATGGATGATGGCCACTCGACGGAGCCGTTGGAGAGAACCACTAGCTCCAAAGCTTCACCGATGGGACTTGTGGAAAGATCTCCATCGTCGACTAGCCTCGAGCGTAGATATATGGGCAGAAATAATGTTAGAAGGAGCCTTGAGATTGACGAGTCAGGAAGAAGGAACAGTGGGTCGATGGGAGCTAGAGATGTGCCTTCTATTGAAGACAGATCAGTTCGGGATTTGCCAATGGACAAAGAAGATTCCAGTTTAAATGGTTCTTCCTTTTACAATAGATCTAGTCAGCCCAATTCCCATTTGAATCCTCCCCCGCCATCCATCAGGGGCGGGGTTAGTAGCCCTTCCTTTTTGGGTTCATTTGATGATGATGGTAGGCTCAACACCAACAGTGGTCGCTACAAGAGGACCGGCGATCTCAACATGGGACGAGGTCAAGTAAATGCCTGGAGGGGTGCCCCAAATTGGCCTTCACCTCTGCCTAATGGCTTCATCCCTTTTCAACATGGACCTCATCATGGGGGCTTTCCGCCTATGCTGTCTCCTTTTCCAAATCCATCTTTGTTTGTTAGACCCTCAATGGAGCTAAGCCATTCTGGTATCCCTTATCATATAACAGATGCTGACAGGTTTTCTGGTCATCTGCGTCCTCTTGGATGGCAGAACATAATGGATGGATCGGGTTCTTCTCACTTGCATGGATGGGATGGCGGTAGCAATGGTATATTTAGGGATGATGGCCATATGTTTGGTGGTCCAGAATGGAACCAGAATAGGCATGCGATGAATGGTCATGGATGGGATTCGAGTACGGATATCTGGAAAGGACAAAACGGTGATATCACCACAGACTTGACCTCAAAGTCTTTGAAGGAGGACAACAAAGTTCAGGCTTCTGTTGATGATAGCTCTGGTGTACTGGGAGCAGGTCAAAAGTTGCAGAATGAAACTTGTAATAAGGATGGTTCCAAGGGAAAAGCAGTTGAAAGTAAACCTTCTGTTGTGTTAGCAGTCAAAGAATCTTCTAGATCTCATCCCAAGACAACTTCCCAGCAGAGGATTGCCGCTGACCCTCCTAAAACTTCGAGTGAAGACCGCTTCAGTAATTTTATCAATGCCTATCTACCTAAGGTGGACATTTCCAGTGAACTTGCTAGTTCGGATCTGTATAGTAAGTGTATGGGATTGTTGAAGGTTGAAGTTAACGCATCTGTTGATGAAGATGCTGATGTGCTGATAAATTTGAAGGTAATATACCTGAACTCGTAAGGGCTTAATTTTTCATATTTTTTCAAATCATATTTTGTATCCTCTTTTCTTTTTCTAATGTCTTTAAATATACTTTTGTTGTGTGTTTTCTTCCATGATAGGATGGTGCGAGAGCAGTGCCTAAAAATTCCAGTGTATTCTTCAGTAACGCGCTCTTTCCTGCATCTAGTGATTCGATATTCAAGGTAAAAATAGGGACTATCCACAGTAATGCTATGTTTAGTAGGGTTAGTTGTTTGACTCGTAGTGGTTTGTTTCTTGTAGAGAGCCATGGACATCTACAAGAAGCAGAGAGCAAGTGGTATGCCATGTATACAAGGGGGAATAATAGATGCCATACAAGCATCATCTGAGTCGAAGGAGGAGGAGCAGCAATCCATTACCCTTAAAGACGGGGAGAAAGTCGAGGAACCTCTCACTTCCAACCTCGGCATAGAAGTGGCTGATGCACCACCGGTCTTCAACGTGGAACAAAAAGTTCCTGGTGGTGATGTTTCGATGGTTTCTACTGAGGAGGTCAAGATGGACGAGATCGTAGCAACAACTCCTACAGAAGAGGTGGTTCCTGTTTGTGTTGATGATATCCCTGCACATAATTTAGAGTCTGTGGGTGAAGAAGCTCCTCCTCCTAGCTCTGACGCGCAGGGGAATAATCCATCGGAATGCATCGTCGGTGGTGAGTTGAAGGTAGATGAAGAAGAAGAAGAAGAAGAAAGGCCGTCTGATACCCCGATGTCAGAGGGCTCTCTACCGGATAATCCCCCTCGAGGAGGTTCCGCTTTGCCTACCGGTGGTCAGGTGGAGAGCGATGAAGGTAATAGCGGCAGCACAGATAAAAATGTCGAAGAAGAAAAGATGGAGGTGAGAGTTGGGGAATGCTCTGCAGGCGGGGGTTCTTTAGTTTTAGGGGAAGATGATGATGGATGTTCTTCCAGGGCAACTGAGGGATTGATGCCTGGGGGTACGAATGAGTCTGATGAGTCGGTGTTATTAAGTCGGATACATCATTCTCCTGAAAGTACACATTGAGACTAATATTTCTATGTTCACATCTTTTCTTTCCTTTCTGAAGTCCCCTTTCCCTTTTTCACTTCTCCTGCTCTTTTCCCCATTTTTGTTTTTGTTGCTCTTTTAGCCGTGGAAATAAAACTGCTTCTTCCCTGCTGGTAGGCGGGGAGGTCAATCTTTCTGGTTCTCTTCCAGTGATCTTTTCAGTTTTGCAGCTTGGCGGCAGCATTTCGGCTTCAGGGCAGCTCCAGTTGACAGGTAAAAAGGTATTATGGTTCTTTTTACCTTTTCGTGTTGTGTCTTGTTTTCTCGATAGGGTTTTGAAGTCATATTGTCTGAGCATAAGATGAGTTTTGTTGAAGTGAACAATGCATCTTTTGGTATGATGGCAAAATACGCGGTTTGATTAATGAACTTTTGTGGGTTGATGTCATGCATTAAAGTTGAGACAACGATAGGGGAATATGTTTGGGTTTATTCCGTTTTGGGGTATTTAGGCTGATTTTGTCACGTTTCTTGTGTCTTCGTTTTTTACCCTGGTCAAAAACAAAAACAAAAAAGGTTGTACCCTGTTGCCTTTAGGGAACAGAGTTGAGGGGCTTGGGTTTTTATCTGGTAAGGTAAGAGTAGGATTAAGGGCGGATAAATAAAACGCTCGACTGAAGTAGGTGGAGGTGGTTCTGTTCGTGATTTCGATAAGTAATGATGCATTTTTTAACCGTGGGCAGGCAGTTGCCACACGCGCGAGCCTAAGTTAGTGAAATTTGGGCCCTTGGTCTCGGTTGCATTGAATTTGTAGTCAATGTGAATTGTGATGGACTGATTATTCGATTCTGAAACTTATTCATAAAGTAACCAGAAGGTGAAAGTGTTATGTCGACACTTGGTTGCAAATCGGTCCAATCAATTTGAGAACAAGTAAACCCATGGATATGATAGAATAGTAGGAATAAGGGTAGCTCATAATTGGGTTAGTTGTTAGGGTTTGAAAATGCTTGGAAAAAGGAATAAACTCATGGATACAATTACATTTGTATTATTATACTTGTGTTTAAAATGTAACAACATGTGAGTTAGTTATAGCTTAATCGAAAACATGTTTAACAATAATAATAGTGTCTTAAATTCAAATCGCCTAGTCTAACACTTACATATATATGCTTTTTAAGCATACGCAAAATACTACCAGTACCAGGATTAGAAAATCATTTTTTCCTCAAATTTTAGTGGTGTCCCCTTTGCCCCTACGTCTAGTCTGTCACAAAGCATGAATCAGTTAGAGTATTCCCGACGGGTAAAGGGTGTGGTGGGTCGACTCAGTCTTATATGTTATTTAAAAACAAAATGTTAGATATTGAGAATGAATAATACATAGATGAGTGAGGAAGGTAGTAGAATGAATAATTGAGTCTAAATAGTAACAAGAATATTCTTAAAATTTGTTTTTGGGATGAAAATGTGATTTTAGAATGGTTAAAAGAGAATAGATGCATGTGGATGTTGATGCATATCATGATAGAAAGGTTCGAGAACGAGACGGGGTATGACAGGTTGGAAGCAATACCTAGTGGTCGGAACGGTGCGGTTTGGACTAGATTGGACCATATATACGGTATGCGATCATGACCGAGTTGCTAGAACATAAACCACAGACCAAACCATATATTATACGGTTCAGATCGAACCAGCCTGTACAGTGCGATATGGACCAGTCATATACCATTTTCAACGATACTTTATTCTTCTCCGTTCCCCTCCCTAATGTCCATAAAATTTAAAACCTAAGTCCCCCAATATTATAGTGAAACAAAAATTTAGAGATCGTAATTAACTCGCAAAGGAATATGAGGGGAGACCGTTGTGAACTATTGGGTTGGTTGCTATGCACACCATTAATTTTCCTATCTCACCCAGGTAATAAAAAAATTGTTTTACATTTATATATCATTGACACCGGAGTCTAGACATGGCTGGTGGAGATGACGCTCCCATCTTTTCTTGTTATTGTGTAGTTCTTTCATTAGAAGATAATGTAAAAGGGATCACTTGAGCATTTTTTTTGGTTTTCAGTTTGATGTGAATCAATGGATTTGTTGTGCTTTTACTGAAATCATTAATAGAAAGATCAGGTTGTTTGCTCGCCATGGTCGGATTGATCATGCTCGGGTTGTTCTTCCAAATGTCGAATTGTACGTTTAGTGTTATTTTGGTTAGGTTAATGAGCAGTAGGTCATGGTTTGCCAAAGTCTAGACCACATCACACCGCACACTGAAGGGGATACCACAAGTTAGATCAGACAGTTATTCTAGTCTTACGGTCTGGACCAAACTGCAGCGTTCTATTCTAAATCATGGTTTTCCAAATGATTTGGTCTGGATTTTTAACTCTAACAATACCCATGCTCCACATCACGTTATTTGTTGATCGAGTAATACCCACCATAAACTAGTTCCGACAGATTGGATCATGCAGGGTTTTCGGGCCAAATTATGGCCCAGTTTTGTATATACAGAATGGGATAAATCTATGAAAGGAATGTTAGGCCCATTGATGATACTGAGTAGTGGGCCTGACCTAACAGAAGATGAAACCATACCATTGGCATGATATACGAGATGTTAAGCGTAGCCATGATCACGTAAGGAGATTTCCCTCCGAAAGGTAATCGCGTAATGGGATAACAAAATGAAATTCGGGGCAGTTCGAATGAACGAAATATGAACGCACGTTTGGGACCGAGGAAAATGAAAGGCTCGGTTCGGCAATGTAGGACGTGGCAGTTGGGGTTAGCTTTTCAACTATATGATGCAATCGTAGCAGTTAGTTAGATTTACAAAAGAGTGCCCAAAGCTATATGTGGCAGCAAAACACCTATCTATAGAGAGCTCTTATTATCACGCTCGTCAAAAAGAAGCCAGCAAGAAACCAAAAAGATGAAAAGGAAAAAAAAAAAAAAAACTACTATACTACCCCTTTCCTGGCAAAAATCACAAAACCTGTCATCCGTCAGAGTCCGGCAGCTGCCAATTTGTGGTGTTAGTGTGCTCCTTGCGGAGAAACAATATATCAGTTGAGCTCTGCTGAAGTAGCTTTGTATGGTTTGATCCACCCCTAATTCATGAACTTCCTGCAGTTTGGGGATTTACACAAGCACGGGACTTTGAATTCATCCGGCTCGTCAGGGTCGAACAAGTAATCATACCTACCAAAAAACCAGAGAAATTGAAAAAGATTATCAATCATTTCCATCCGGATTTTCTCATTTATAAGCCTACGAGAGTGACAGAGAGAAGGAAAGAGAGATACGTTAATTCGTCACCAGCAGATACATTTGTCTTCGCGATGAGGACTATACGACTTTCATCATCACCCACACTCATGATCCTTGCATAGCAATTGGGCATACACTGCATTCAACCGAACCAAACAAACGTTCAAAACCATCATCATCCAGTAATCGCGATGTATTACATGACCTCAACATTGACTTGGAAGAGCTGAGGTTATGCAGAAAGGAAGAAAAAAAAATAACAGGCAACTTACTGAATGGTTAATGAGGCGTGCTATATTTCCTTTATCGGTTGCATCCACAACGACTTCTTCACTTATCTTAAATAACTGCAAACAGGAAAAAAGGGGAACTCAACAACTGTCTATCTAGAAATAGAAAGCAAAGAAGCAGCACAAGCCACCACGAATGTAAGGGAACCAGAGCTACTGAGTTCACCAGAAGAATGGATGACTATATATAGTAAAAGAGCAAAAATGCCGGGACTCACATAGCAGTCTTTTCCTTCTAAACGGTAGCGTGCTTCCCTCAGATCTGCAATACTGCCTCTCACCTGTTCACCTCGATATTCAAGAACCTGGATACATTCATACAGTTTTGCTCGTCATTTCACGTTTGGGAACTTTCCAGCGCATCATGCTCTGATTGATTAGGTACGTGCATATCTCTGTCTCTATTCATAACATAATGAATTACACTACCGTGACACATGAAGGTTATTAAGGTCACCAGTCCGAAGTAGAACAATAGTTGCATCTAAAGACCGACAGAGGTAACATACCATTTCTCCTTCTTGAATGTTCCTCCGGGCAAAGAGGCCCCATCCATGTATACCTGATCTCCCAAAGCAGACTCTAGTGCGCTCAGTTTTCTATCATAATAATGTGCCCCAAGGACAGGTTAGAACTCGAAACCACTCAATGGAACTCCACAAGCAGCATATAGAAAGAAGAAGAAGGGGAAAAAAGCACACTATACTTGCCTGCAAGTGGTACAGTCGTTCCCTAAATGAAGAAAAACTTTTGGGCTCCTCCACCACCTGCCATAGATATGGAAAGACAGTAATAATATTTAATTACCGCTTATTTGAATTCTGCAGATGAGAGTTCACCGAATCAATGTAAAACAAAGCATAAACATACCCTTAATGCATTTAGACTCTGTATCATGGCTAAAGGATGATGTGATACTCTTGTCAGGCGGTGAGTTACAGCTTCATCTGGTGTTCGCTAAAGAAGCATAAAACGGGAAACATGATGAGGGAATGTAATAATCCACAGAACCAAGGCAAAGATCCGCAAAATTAGCAGGGTAGCCCTAAACCCCAAAGCTAACCCAAACTGAGCTTGAAGTCTTCTCAATGCCTCGGTTACATGAAATGGAGCTCCAGTAAAGCACACAAGACCAGAATAACATCAATATAGCAAAGTCCGATTCAAGTACCTTTCTGTTGTTATTTGCTCTTTGGAAAACCCTGCACCTTGCAGCAGATAGTGGTTCAACCTCTGGCATTTCTTCTGCGGATACTTCTTCGGGTTTTATACTACTAGACGAGATCAGCCGTGTGCCAGCCCTCTTCTTATTTTGGAGAAGACTTTTGGCAGAAAATACCCCTGCAGGAGTCTGTATAATCAAGACTGTATCTGGGTTTGGAGCCCTGCAGCATTAATCATAACAGCATTTATCAGTAAAAAGATAATGAGGCATTGTCAACCTGTAGATAATCCAGATAAAGCTTTTAACTTTCATACCTGTGATATGCACAATAAGAAATCATCTTCGTCATTTGTTTTCCATTTTTCTCAGAGCAGTGCAACTGCAATTTAAGGTGCACACATGAAAAGTTCAGGAAATTATGGACAATGGATGTTGTGTATGTGTAATGCAAATATATCACATCCCTATATGTGCAAAAGGAACAAGTAACAAATGAAAATAACTCTCACCTCCATGCGATAACCAGCCCGTGAAGCACACATAGCATGGTAATAAGTTGAACATTTGCAGCATTGGGTGCATGACCCATGTATCTGCTTACAAATGACACAAATCTGAAATGCCCAAAAGCAAAGAAAGTTCAGATTATCATAAACAATTTTACAAATGCAAGTAAATTCAATACCATATATGGATCATATCTCAGACAAAAAAAAAAAGTTAAATTACTGATACACAACACAACACATGTTTCTAAGACTACATTCACAAAAGCTGAAGATCAAATGCTGGATTGAGTTGTACCTTCACAAAAGAATTTGAAGGAATACATAAAATCCCAAGAGCAGGCTCCATCTTTTCATCACTAGCAAAAGAAACTTCAGGTCGGAACCAAGCACATGTAACATGGACCCACAGTGTCTGGACATCGGTTGGCTTCAGAGCACCGCCTAGTAAATTCCACAAATCATGAATACCAAGAAAAATATCAGAGTTGAAAGTGAAAATGGAACAGTGTTGAAAGTGAAAATGAATACCAAGAAACTTCAGGCAGCACTAGGACATTTGCAAGCAAGAAAACCTAAAAAGTGACCTCTCTCAGTGCTGCTAATAAAACCAAGACAGGGAAAACGAATTCACGCCGACTACGAGCATACTGTAGGTACCATGTTGCACAATGAACTTCAAATCCATAACCACACTGACCTTTGACAGGACAAAGGCAGCACTCCCGCTTAATTTCAGGAGTTTCACATGCTTTACAAACCCATGAAGTAAAATCCTGTACATGTCTTGCTCCATAACATTCCTGATGAACGGCTATCTGACATCTGGTATACAGGCAAAGAAGGAGACACATTATAATCACACTGTTAGTTCCCATACTTTCATGAATATTAGACCCGTGTTTAAGCCAAACATCTGATTAGCCAGCCAGCTCTTCAGATTTAATCTTAATAGCAGAAGCAGTTAAAGCAGGTATATCAGACAAAAATATCATGGCCCTAGCAATAACAAGCATGAGATTTTATAGCCTCTACTCTTAATATGAACTACAAACATGTTCATGAACATAATATGCATTGATCTATTGTAATCCCTCCCGCAGAGTACAAGGCATAAACATACCTGATGCAGATAATAATTTTGTTGTAGTCCCAATCTTCAACCCATCTACATACAGCACAACGTTCAGTTGTCCACTTTGCATGAACAGGCTCATATTTCTCTGTTGGATGTGCACAGCAGAATGACCATCAATCAAGTAGCAAATTAGAGAATCCAATAAAGGCTAATAAGACTGATTGCAAGGTTCTTTGAGATGGAACAGAAAATACCTTGCAGAAAGGCCAGCAGTTTCTGCTTCCGCTCTTTAATGGAAGGCTTTTTGGAAGGTTTAGTTGATACAGTGCGCGCGTGATACTCAGCTAACTGCATCATCTGCAAATTCAGGTAACAAAGTGAGAAAATTGGAAAGGAAGCACAAATCACTTCGGACAAAGAGGATACCTGTTTTCAAAATGATGAAAGAATCATTCTACACATAAATCCACACTCACCCATTGTTCTAAAGGCAGCATGGAATCTTTGACCCTGATGCTGGTTCTCCAGTTTCTAATTTTCGAACCCGTGTGCCTCTCCCATTCACTCAGCGGTTGCTTCTCCGTCCCACAGGTCCCACATTTGCAGATAACCCTAGAACATGAAAGGTTGTACAAGGCAACTAAGTGAAAAAAGAGATGAAGACAAGTGAAGGCCAACAAACTCGCCTACCAGAATCCAGAACAAGCAAATCAGACAAAGATACAAAATCAAATTACTAAAACAACTTTCTCCATAGCATAATGAATCTCTCTAATGCCATCTAAAGCTCCATCAAAGCTACTACATACTACATTGAGTCGACCATTAGCTTTTAGAAACAGAAGATAATTCAGAAAGTCAACATATTGCTTACATGTGGAAACTTGGGTAATATATGCCTTCTACACCAGAACATATTACAGAAACTTTGTTAGGTGGAGGTTGTTTCCCGATACTCGACCTGCAAAAGGGGCTCAAGAATTGAATATTTGAACATCCCAGAATTCACAAAATTTTAGAACCCAAATGAACAGCTTACTTGGATTTTGGCTCACATCTTTCTGAATCAGACAATTCAAAATTAAACTTTGCTTGGCAAGGAGGACAGTAATAATCAGTTGCCCCTAGGTCCTGCAATTGAAGCATTGATCAATAGAATTAGAAGCTTCCTTTGGTGTTCCCATTGTGTCACAGGGATACAATAAAATGCTCAAATGAGGATAATGACAAGTAACAATGATGAACATTATAGAAATACCTTAAATCGATTTCTGGAAATTTTATCGCATTCTGCATGAACCCAAACCTTACACCCATCGCATCGCACCTACTCAGAATGGACAGGGAAAAAGATATTATAGCTGTGCAAACAAGTAGAAGCAAAAAGAATACCACATAAAAAATTACTCACCCAGCTCCCACTATCTGAATGGTTCCAGAACTTTTTACATATTCCACAGCAATGTTTTGACTTGGTTAACTGCAACAAATTCTGAAGTTATAACAAACAATATGACGCAAGCTAGGATTTCAGACGGATGATAGACAACATCTGTAGTTCTCACCCTGGCACAGGTTTTGCATAAGAGTTGGCCTCCTGGACTTGCAGCTTTTGTATTCTTCGGCAATCTAGGAGACAGATATATTCCACATCCTTCACAAGACCACTTATTGTTCTTCTTCATGAACATCACCTAGAGTAACAAAGAAAATTGAAAAGCTCACATGTCAATTACACTCTTATATTTATTTAAATTGAAGTTGGAACCCTCACACACGAGACTCCAATCCCAACAATCTCAGACACGCAGAGTTGGGTCCACTTGATTCTGTTCTTGTACTAAGGTCCAGTGAAATGTTTCAACATAATCTGATAAGGAAATTTAATGACTCAAACCCAATAGGAAACACCTTTCAGATAATAGGACCCACCATCCCCTTATGACTGGTGCATTGACAACAGAGTACTGACTAATTACAATGCAATCATTTCATCATGACGTATAATCAATTCTTTAACTCCAGAGTTCTGACTAATCAGGAAATCCAAACATCTCAAACAGAAAAGAGGGAACAATGGTTATAAAATAGTGGGATGTTTGGTTCTGATTTGCAGCATACTTGCTGAAGTAGCCAGGAAAAGATTCAGGGATGAACCACAAAGATGAAAGAAGGCCATGCAGTCGGACAAGGATATGCAGAATACTTGCCTGGTTTGGGGATTGAGAATCCTGATATTGGTTTGAACCGCTAGCCTCTTGTAACCATCTAAATGCCGGTTCCTCACAAGTGGTATTTCCAGCTATCAGATTTATTTCCTGCATCAACTTCTCTGAAAATCCCTGTTCTACCATGAACGCTTCCTCGATTGCCATCTGGAAATCGCTGGCCTTGTAGTCATTCAATGGCTGCTTCTGGAACCTGTAATAAGGGGGGGAAAGGTCTTAAATATTTCCAGATCTTACACCAGCAACCCTGGAATCATTATTCCACAATCCTGGAACCATTGGATAATAAATAATCTACCACACCTGTCCACAAAATCCATAAATGGAAAGATCATGCCTCTCTTCACCCAAGCATAATCCTGGTAAAGATCAGAAAGCACAATTAATAGTCAGCATATCAGTCATGGAATGGAGCGGCAAACAAACAAGCCAGCTCCCATGAATAAGAGTGATTAGTTCATACCCTCTGATCGTCCCCAGAATAACCCAAAAACATCAGACAAGCTGCGTCAGGTATACAAGACCGCAGAACCAGCTCCGGTGCCTGAGTCATGGGGTCAATCACAATGCCCGGCCAAAATGGGTCCTTAGTCCCCGCCTTTGCCCAGACAATATCACCGGAGTAGAAGTCCTCAGGCCCAAACAACCCGTCTTTCTTCTTATACCTGTCTGGGCTGCCAGTTACAGCGTTGATTCCACATTTGTCATCATCCAGTAATTGCTCATGCAACGACGTTAGTGTACTTCGCGAATTGGAATACCTTTTCAGGTCGAAGCTTTTGTAGTCCACTTCCAGCCTGTCTTCTTCGTCAAATAGTGTAGCCCCTCCTTTACTACTACGGAAATTAGCGACCCTTTCGTAGTTCCGCTGATTTCTGGCATTACTAGTAACCATTCTAGAAGTTTTCGAGCTGAACTTTACTCTCTCTTTCAACTTCCTACTGGCAGTAGTATCACACTGGACGATATCGTCTTCTAAGCTATCATCCTGCAAACTAGTACTAGCCTTCTCCTCTTTCCTCCAATTCTCAATCACAGAATCGTTAAACCGGGAAGGGAGTACCTGAACCCGGCCTCTGGACGTCCGGACAACCGGGGGTCGGGAAACCTCAACCACCGCCGGGCTACTTCCTCCGACGGCATCCGGAACCTCCAATTGCGAGTCCGATTCCAATTCCTCCTCGCCGGGCGGCGAGCACGACACCTCGGTGCACCACGAAGCAGCAAAACCTCCTCCCCTGTGACCCCCGCCGAGAATCCCACGGAATCCAACGGGAATCACGCCGTTGGCGATCTGGCCGAGGAAATTGAGCGGGCAATAACCGTCTCCGAGCTTCCTCTTCTTCTTCCGCGACGAAGCCGAGGTATCGTCCGGGTCGCACCCCGAGTCCTCGAGTTTACACCGCTTGAGACTCGGCATTCGCGATTTCAAGTTCCGCTTGATTATCATCCCTCCTCCTCCTCGTCCGCCGCCGCGGCGGAACCGCCGAGAGAAAAAAAGAGACCGATAGAGAGAGTCCACTCAATCGCCGAACACGCAAACCAAATTCAACGACCGCGCATTTCCAAATTCGAACGAGCTAGAGGAACGAACCTCCTCCTCCTCCCCCTCCCTAATCTCACATTCACCGGAACCCTAATTCGAACCGGAATTCCAACGAACGGAAACGAAATCGAGAGAACAGAGACAAAACGATGCAACAGAGAGAGAGGAAGTCGTCGTACTTATCCACGAAAGCGAAGAAATCAGAAAACAGAGCCACCAATCAGGAACGAATCGCGATGGAGGAATGAGGCAGAACGAAGAGCCAGAAGCGTAACGAACCAGTAGCGCGGAATGAGAAAATTGCAGGCCCGAAGAAAAGAAGAGCGAACCAGAGATCTGTCCCCTCTCTCTCTCTCTCTCTCTCTTATCTTTCTCTCTCTACCTCCCCGCTCGCAACAACAGAGTGTAAAGAAAGACGGGGAAAATAAAACACACGATAAATTTTATTAATAAAAAGATAAATGACTCATTACATTGGCCGCATAACAATTAGAAAAAAAATGAATTACTGAAAAATTGGAGCGGAATTCCCCGCCGGGGAAGCGGGAAGGGAACGATACCGTAACGTGGCAACGGGGGCCGGCTTTCCTTAACCCTGCGTCCCTAGTGACGTTTACTTCCCGAAGTTCGTCAAACAAATTTGAAGCAGTGATCGTGTTAGCATGTGCCGATATCGTTGGATGAGAAGAATAGAGACAGCGTCGTCGACAGATTCCGGTCGACGGTAACGGTGTTTGGGGAGCTGAAGCTTTTGGTTCCTGACGCCATTTTTTGGTGATGGCGGGAGCTGGAATGTTTAGAGGTTGTACATAACACTATTGGTTTGGATTTTTTTTTTTGAAAAACCCAACTTTTTAATGTGCCAATTTAGTAGGGGAAGGGTAAAGTGGGTAATTCGGTCCGTGTCCGTGACTTCGGATTGATTTTTTCCGGTGAGAGAGAACTGTTTGTCTCCGATTGACCGGACTAGCTAAAAGTTGGTTACCGGCGACGTTTATAGCGTTGACCAGACCCTTTTGGGGTTGCTTAGTTTAGTTTAGTTTAGTTTGGCGGGTGTCACCGTGTCAGTAGCCGGAATCTTTCTACTACGGAGGCGGGGTTCAGAAAAAGCGAGAGATTGAAGCTGAAGCTTTGCTGAAATGGAGCCAAGTACGAATATACGTCGTGGTTGGTTGAGTTGAGGGCCTAGAGAGAGAGAGAGAGAGAGAGAGAGGGCACATGGGTTTTTCTGGGTGTCAGCGGTAAACTTGGCTGTGCTAGGAGTTGGGACGCAGTTGAATTTGACCCACCCTAAAAAAAACGAAATCATCATGTAATAATAGTAAAATACAAGATGATTGAATCGAGTATTGGTTTAGGACTTGGAGGGAGACAAATAAGCCATTCATTTTGACGGGAGTTTTAATCGGGACGGGCTGGTTTTAGTAGGGGTGGCAGTTCGGTTACCGGTTATCGGTTAACAGGGCGGTTATTCACTAACCGGTAATCGAAGTAACCGCACTTCGGTCGGTTATTGGAGGCTGGACGAAATGGTTTTTTATTTTAAAAGTGGTTCGGTTAACTGATAATCGAGATAATCGAGAGACCGAAGCCTATTTCGGGCGGTTTTCGGTAGGGGTGTTCAAATGGTTACCATGGTTATTACCAAACCAATTAAGGCTAAATTTCATTAACCATGGAATACAATATCATAACTAAACCGTCCAAACTAATACAACAACCAAATTAACCAAACTAAAGTTTAATCGGTTTGGTTAATTGGTTAACCAGATTAACCAATATAAAATTACATTATCATTAAGTGAGAAAATTTTCGGTTAATTTATCAATTCACAATTTATATAATGAATAAAACATAACAATCAACACTTGGTTATAGTTTACCTTTAACATAAAATACATGCAACTAAGACAATTATCTTACGGTTAATATAGAAGTATTCACCTAGCAAAAATTTATCACAATGGTATGGGTTAAAGAATTGTTGTGTTTGTATGAATTGACTAGTCTTTTAGCAATTTTCATAGGGTGAAAAGGACCTTGCTTTCAAGTTTTCATCCAACATAATGTACGAGATTTATCTAAATTAGTCGTTCATATGTTGTGGTCTACACTCTACATATATAAATATACATTATAGGAACAATATCAAGCTTTATATTTTATGAGTCTAAAATGGATGAACGTTTAACTCTTGAGTGGTTATTCAAAGTATTAAGTATGTGTATATATTAGATATATGGCTAATTATTTATCTGGTTAATTTGGTTTGACTGGTTAGGAGTGTCTGAAACCAAACCAAACCACCTAAACCAAACAATCTAAAAACTTTAATCAAACCAAACCAATTATCCAAATTAACCAAACCAAATTATCCAAATAGTACTGGGTAAAACGGTTACCATGGTAACCACACCGTTTGAACACCCCTAGTAGGGGGAGTGGTTATTTCGGTTATCCGATTACCGGCCGATCGGTTATAACCGAAATAACCGAAATGCCACCCCTAGATTTTAGTGCGCATTGTGAATCATAATTATACCGTAAGAGGATCTGAGCATCGGAGGTCACTGCGCACTCAAGCAGAGCAGCGGATCAAACCATATAACAAGGGGAGGTCGAGGCCCAGTCGAGACGTAAGTTATAGGGTGGAGACCGGCCTCGACGGAATGGATCACTATGAGAACTCAGATGATTCGTTCTTGCGATCATCGGGGTATACCGCCGCAGGAGGTTCGCTTCGAGACGGACAAGATCTCTTACTGGGGGCTTTTTCTCGATGATCTGGGAAGATGTACTATTGTTGCGCGGAGCTCTAGGGCGCCCTTAGGGGTCTCCAGCTTGCCTAGAACGCGAGACACAAAAAGGTTGAACTCGAGGTTGATTTGACTACCACTATTCATTCGCACTCGGTGGATGCACCTGTTGACCATCAGTACGCTAGCCTCATTCTCTCAAGTAGGGAGCTCCTAATTCGAGCATGGGAGGTTCGGGTGCAACATATCTATAGGGAAGCTACTTTTTTAGCTGACTGTTTAGCTCATAAGGTTGCCCGTTAGAGTGTTAGACCTTGGTACTCATACTATATGTGATCGACCCCAACATTACACATTGGCTTTTGTATGACTCTCTTGGTGACCTCGTCATTTGCTTAATTCATTAACTTGAGGTAGTTGTGCTTTGTAACATACATCCAAATGATACTTGCCCACATATCATAGCCATGATATACCTTCCAATTTTCAAGTTTTTAAATACTAAATTTACCTGTTGACTTATGTACACAACTACACATCAATTAATAGTAATACCCTTTCAATTTTCATATTATTTGATATTTAGTATATCCTTGTTGACAACATGTTATTTGCATTACAACATGTTTTCACCCCAAAGAAAACGAGAAGAAGAACATTGTTTGTCATTCCTTTACGATAGAACAGATGCATATAGCAAGATTGATTACAAATCTGCCCTTCCTCCGTCGTCTTATTCCACACCATCCACCATATATACAAACTTTCTACTACAGATTCGAGGTAATCACAGAGGATGATAATAATCAATCAAACTACTACACTCTCTCTTTTTGGCTTTCCTTGCTTGCTGCGCTGGGGCGGAATTAAGTTTATTCCAACACTAAATACTTAGCTTCTCTTTCTCTTTTCTCCATTGATTACAGATTAGGCAGCCCTTACCACTACTACTACTTAGTACTTAGATTTCCCCCCCTCGCAGGGACTAAAAACTATTCCATACCTACACTTTTTTCAACTGGTTGGTTCCTTCATCATCATCAGCAGCAGCAGCAGCAGCAAGGTTAGCTAGAGATGGTCATTGCTGGTGTCCTTTGATCACATCAGATTCTTCGGTCTTGGCGAACCTTCCCCGGACCCTCGGCTGGCTGTCTGCTAAGGCCTTCCTGCAGGCATACTGGAAAAGAAAGGGAAAAACAATATGGGGCTGAGTTTCAATGGTGGAGAGCTATAGAATAGTCTGCTCGCCGAATGGATCAAATAAAGAAGTGGTGTTGGTTGATAGGATGAATTTACCTTGATCTTCCTGCCAAAGTTCCTCTTGTTCTTCTTGTTTCGGTACCTCGAAAGCTTTTCCAACCGGGCTTCAGAAGTGGAGTTGCTGCTAATGAGCAGTGGACGCGGAGAATGGATGTGTCCCACGTTTCCATTTCCAAGAGCCTGCCACAAGAAATTTGGTATTAGAGTAACTGAAAAGAACAGAACCATAGGTTCTGAATTTATCATACAAGCATATTTCGTTTGTTTGCCTTTCTGCAGCAGATAAGCTTGGAATTTTGCAGGAAGAGTTCAGGTTATCCTTTCAACCAAAAGGCATATTTAAATTCGGTTCATTTTAGGCAATTAGGCATCAGTTGGTGGCTGGTGCCTGCCTTCAATCGATCTCTAATAGCTAAACTGAAGCTCATTCATTATCATCACTTATCAAGACAAAAAAAGTGACAGGGATATATCCGTTACTAACAGTGATCCTTTAGTAATTGAGTTCTACAGTTCTAACCTAAAGGATTGGCAAACCATACCCTTTACTAGTTCATGAAACCATGAATATAATCATGTAACTTAGCAGGGCAGTACAATAATACTGATAGAAGGAGACCAATATGTCTTCGCTTACCTTGATATCACCTTCGCTGAATGCTCTTCGCATCCCATAGGCAGCAGTAAAATCAATCCCAGGGAAGTCCAGGAAACTCGGCTTCACCGGACCTCCAGGGATCCAATCCATTGCGCTTAGACACCCCGAGCTAACACTCTTTGACAACCCTAGATCAGGGGCCAACTCATGGTCTTGGACATGGTTTTCTTCGGTTCTCAACAGAGGAGTCTTGATATCCAGAATATCCGAGAGCGGGGAGTCTATTGCTGCAGCCATTTCCATGAGGTCTTTCTTGCACTCGTAGAAGACGTCGCTGAGAAGCTGCTCATTTTGAATGTCTTCAAGTCCAGCAGCCATCTTGAGTCCTGATGGAGTAAGGACTTCTTCCCCACAAGATATCATGGAAATGGCTGCTGTCATCGGATCAAGGCCCATGATTGGCTCCTCGATGATCAGTTCAGGTGCCTTGAATAGGTCCCCTTCCCCTCCAAGGTCATATTCGGATATGCTTGAGGATGAGATCAGGTTGCTCTACAATAGACAAGGTAAAAAACAAATTAACCTTTGATACTAGAGAACTGGGTTTGATTTTAATGCTGACTATACAATTTCACCAATCATGTTGGCGTCCCAAGATTTGGCTGTGATTTGGAAGATCAAACAGTATCCACCAGGCCAATAAGGAGCTAACAAGTTTGTGATCCATATTCAAGAATCAAGACAAGTATCTGAGAAGTAAAAAAAAATACTTATCACTAAAATCGATCACATATCAATGAAAGGACAGCTTCAATACCCTCTCAATCATCCAAACCGCCATACACCAGAAATGAAAACGATCATAAACATTCAATGAAGCAGCTGAATTCTCGTCTCCCTTTTTCTCAGTTTCTCCCTGGGTTTTGATTCATAAGGTCAACAATAACACAATCCACCATTAAACTACAAAAGGAAAGATAAACAACTGAAAACCCACAAGTACAGACAGCCACTCATATTGCTGAAGGGTCGGACAATAAAAGCAGCTGAACCTGAAACAGTGACCTCTATACACTTAAACATGGGGATAAAGCAAAATTGAAGAGCAACCCCTTTCAAGAAGAGGGAAACCCTGGTTTCACCCATGTCTGTCCTTTTAGCAAAGCTTGGCTTCCACAAATTAAAGCCAGACAGGCAAACAAAGATGGAGATAACTTTCCTCTTTTGGGATTTCCCAAACTTTCCCCTCCGCTCCTTTCTCTGTAAACTCACTTCTGGGTGGGCGTGAATGTCTTAATAAAAGCACAAAGGCAGGAAGAAAAACCAAACTACTGGTTCACATCACACAATGAGGAGAAGGGAGAAAGAAATGGAACAAAGCTTATAGAACACGGAGCTTCGGACAGCGAAATCACTTTCCTACTTTGTACTACTCCCTTCTTCCTCTCCTTTAAGCTTTCCAGATCCAATTGCGATATAAAAGCAAAATTCCCTAGTTTCCATTTCAGCTCAATGGTTTCAGGTGCTCGGAAACATTGAGGAGTGAGACAAAGAAAGCAAAGCAAAGAACTAAGCCCTCCATTTCAACACAGAGGAAGTGGAAAACCTAGTCAGCAATGGGGTAAAATTTCTATCCCTTTTACCAAACCATGAAGATCTGTAACTGCTGGAAAAAAATTCCTACCCACAACTCAAAGCCAAATCAACACCAACCCAAGTGAATCCCAGCTGAATTCTTCACAACCCATTTCTCAGATATCTCAAGAGACAACAAAAAAACCCAAAGAAACAGTAAAAACAAACAGAGGGGTCGTACCATTGAAGCATTGTCCTCCTGGTACTTGCAGTACTCTTCGAGTTGCTGGAAGTCTTGGGAGTAGCTCTGCAAATAGGGGAACAGTAGCCCTGGCTCGGCATACATTCTATTTCAAGTTTTTTTTCGACGCTCAACTCGTTAGATCGCTCTGAAGATCTTGCAGAGTAGAGAAACGCTCTTTCTCTAATATCGATTGTGAGGGAAAACAGGACTACAGGAGAGACAGACAGTGATGGCTGAAGAAGAAGACGGAACTTTACAAGCAGAGAAGTAGTAGAGCAGCCAAAATGCACCATAAAGGAGAAAATAGGAAGTGGGTTCCAAGTTCGGGACCTTTGATTTATAGCTGAGATTTAAAAAATTCCAGCAGACAGTGAATTTTTATTATTATATAAAATAATCGGGAGACGTAGGGTATTTTTTTTATAGAAGACGTAGGGGATTTTTTGTTATAATATTATTTGTTTCTCTCAAGTCTCAACTACAGTCTACAGCTATTAAAATAATAAGATTTTTTTACAGAAACAGCCAGGGTGACGTTATCAAAAGAAAAAATTACAAAGGGAATATATTTGTATTAAACTTGAATAATAGATTATAAGAGGAATCAACAAATAAAACCATAATGGTATCAAGGTCAGACAAACTCAAGCATACACTTGATCAATGCTTCAGAAGTAACAACTAACAACAAGGGAAGCTTAAAATATCAAACCAGCCAATCCATCAATGGATTTGAAAACACTTGAACCAAAATCAGAAAATACCGAAAGCTCTCTTGCAATCAAACCATTCGAAGTAGTACCAAGTGCAATCAGTTCGTCCGATTCGACCGAGACCATGACTATTGAACACAACGTCATAAGCCGCCTCCTGGGAGTCGCTCGAAGGCGCTCAGCATAGTGAATCTTGGGTGTGAGATTACATAGCGGTGGTCAGGGTTGATGATCGAATTGCTCCAAGTAAAAAAGACATGGGAAGTCAGAGGCACCAAGTCTTCGTCAAGGCGAGCAGAAGAGCCCACACCCCCAATAGCAAAGAGTTGTTGACGCGGTCAACCGGATCAGACACCTCCATCCATCTATCGACGCCGACCAAGAGGCAGAACATACCACTCGGGGAGAACGAAGGGAGAAACTAGTGAATCGATTCACCACACATGCTCATAAACCCACCATTTGAGAGGAGACCGAAGAAGATGCATAAACAAACCCCCCAAGAAAAGCAAACAAAACAAAAAAGAACCCTAGAACAGGGGGAAACCATAAAAGTTGAAGAAGCTAAAAAACTGGAAAAACCGATTGAAAACATGATGTTATCAAGTTGGTTGATTGATGGTTTCTTCTCCTTCTATTTTAGAAAAAACAAAAATCTATGATGGATTGTGTGTAGAGTTACAGGCTAAATCATGGCAAGTCAAGAATGTTAATAATTTAAAAGATACATAATATATCTTAAAGATAAATATTTTCAGATATTTTTAGTTTTTTTCACAACTCCGCTAATTGAAACTAGAAAATGGACATAGTCCAAATTGAACTTGTTACAACTAGATGTGAAATAGGATAAAATAGTTTGTCGAGTTCAGTATTCATTCATTACTACACACATGATTATAAGATACTTGGATCTAATCAAACCTAATTTCACCATCATTTAATTGAAGATTCTTTCATTTTATTCCATTTGTTGTTGAATTGTTAGTGGATTTCAACTATTAAGAAGAAACAAATAAATACATAGGCGGATTTGAAATTAAGTCAGATCGGTCAAATGAAATATTCAAATTTAAATTTTAGATGATTTCAATTTCCTTCGTAATTTTTTTAATTCATTATATTATATACAACGATACAATTTTATTTTAGACATAACAAGTCCTTCCTCAATCTGAACTTTCAACTCAATAAAAAAACATCTACATGACTACCATATAATACCCGAAGAAGAATAACAAACAGGAACGCCATGAATTCAAAATCAATCACTTCAAAATCGTCAAAATTTATCGTCATTATCACTACACCCCGACGATAATCCAATTGTACCTTAGGCCAAGCCCATGAAACTTGGGAAATTATATTTGTTTTGTTGTCTACAAACTACCCTAGTTGAAAACTAAATAGTAACGAGGACAAAACACAAAAACACAAAGATGACAGCATTCATATCCTGGTCATTACCCACTGTTAATTTGGTTGTCATTTTCTTTCGATTTTTGTGAGTAGAATATTGCAAGTTAATGAGATGAGAGGAGGAAGGTTGAATGAATGCATGTGAGACCGTTCTCGTAAAATTATGCATTGGACGTCGCATATCACAATGACAATTTTATTTACAAAATTATCATCACGCTTTTGTTCAACGATTACAGTGCGATCAACACTCGATCTAATGGTCATGCATTCTTCTGAGCATGTGTCTCACATATTGTGCTGATTTTAAACATGGAATATGTGTAATGTTCATAAACATTTTGATGCTTAGTTTGTAGATATTTATTACTCCGCTTTTACAAATTTCAGGAACAATTATCAGCTATAGACTTCAGGACGAGACTTATCAGATTGATCAAAAGGATGATGAAAAACATCAGCCTCACCCTTAAAATTGGAGGCCATCAACATCATCCCAAACAAAAAAAACATTTATAAAATTAAACATACTTAATCATTAAGCCTAACTCCCTGTTAAACCTTTTTTTTATCCCATCACACACTTGTGGAATATGTCTACTTGAGACAAATCAAAATTTGGAGCCTTGCAGCACAACTTGTGTTATGTCTCACCAACTTGACGCTAAGGAGAATGAATGAATTAACTATTCATGATTTATGCTTAGCACAGACTGTGGACTTCATCAAACCTAATTTAGCCTCGGATATGACAATTAAGTCCACTAATTAATTAATTAATTTTATTAACTTTATCAAGTGATCATCACATTACCTATCCTTTTTATGCCTTTCGTTGCAGTAGTAAGGGCATTAAATAATAATAATAATAATAATAATAATAATAATAAAAAGTCATCCAATTTCAACTAGTTTTACAGTGCCCCCCATTATACAAATCGAAATGTTCTTCCCTTTCTCTGTTATGATTGGTTTTTAACCGAGTATTACATTCTTATTTTACAAGTTGCAGCTAATTCCCATTAGACCCACTTGCTAAAAATTGGCACAAAAACAACTGGATCACTATGGTTTATTCCTATCATCATCGTAGTTATATGAGTTTTCAATCTCGTCGGGTATTATCAAACTTGACTCACATTGGGCGCGTAATGCATGATGCGCAGGAGTGTGAGATGGACAAGTGTACTATATTTATCTTGCATCATCTCTGTTTTTTTTTTAATTGTTGGACCCGTAAATATGACACAGCCAAACTCGAGCAAGAATGATGATCTACAAGTGCGTATGGGCCCAAGGCCACAAAACATCACAAAGACCCAATGGAAGCCCAATGAAGTGTGATAAGGTTTGACCTATAAATATGCTCTTAGGTCTTCCAAGTAAGGGGCTCTCATTCTCTTCCACTCATTTTTTACATATAACTTATCTCTTTACAATCTCTCTCTACCTAAGCTCTCTCTATTTCTCTATTACTATCTAATGTTGATCGTCGAAGTGTAGATAATGGGGGTCATCCCCGCCATTTTCACAGATCCGGAGCTTCCTTGTTTCTTGGCTGAAACACAAATAATCTTGCATCATCTCAGTACTCGTTATTCCTCAACTTGTCTCCATATATATTTGTACTTTTCCTATTTTGACTTACTTTAAATCATATTTTCACCTAATTATACTCTAGATAGTGAAAAATCTCATATTTCAACTAATTGGATTAAATTAATCTATCTATTATCTCTATTTTTATGACTATTTTATCTTTGATTTATCGTTTAAAATAAATATTTTCTTCAAATAATATATAAGAATAGATCGACCTGATCCGACTCGTATCCCCAAGAGTGTTACCCGACCCGAACCCCCAATTGGTGCAGAGCGAGTATGGGTACTGAGATGTCCGCTCCACCCAAGTTCCATCATTAATCCATTATTGTATTCTCCTATTAGTCTATGTAATCTTTTGTACCACTTTGGTATACTATGGTAAAAAACTAAAACTCATGACGACTAATGAATTTTCAATAAAATAAATAAATAAATAAATATAAATGAGTGTAATTTTGTAAAACATAGCTTTTATTATTTTTTCGTATAAAAATTTGAAATTCAAACTAAAACAATTGGATTATAATACGAGAGAATGACTATGTATGGTTGTATACAAATTGGTTTGGCCCTATATCTGCTCTCCCAGTATTTTATGTTTATCTTAATTACAAGTTGCAGCTAATTCCCACTAAACCCACTTGCTAAAATCAGCACAAGTACAACAGGGACACTTCTGCGAGTGTTGTATATATATGATCACATCCCCACTAATTTTAATTAATTCTGACTAAAACTTATTATTTTCCTTGAACAAGATTATAATAATGACCTTTTCTTTTGTCTTCTATTTCTTCCCAGTAGAAATCCTTGGTTATTTTATTTTGATCAAACGTCGGCATAATTTCATAATTGAAGAATATATAAAGGACAAAGCAATTAATTAATAATGGGAGAACCCAAGAATTATTTAATTTATTTGACCCCTTTCCCTTTCAATTGGCAACAATTGGGTGCCTAATAAGTTAAGATCAGGCATGTCTCATTCAGGTATTTGTTGGGGAGATAAAGTTAAAAATATAATTAGTAGCTTAATGACTAGAAGTGATCACTAATCAGTAATGATATTAAAAAAAAAGCCAGTAATTATATTTTGGCTGCTGCCATATGGGAAATTGCTGTGTTTGATAGCTACATCTCTCTTAGCATTGTTCTTTGGGGGTCACAACAAAGAAGATTGAAGATGACACCAATGAGTTAACTTAGTTGGAAGGAATGTTGATATTCGATCCAATTATGGGTTGGTTGAAGATTATGATCGATTTGAGTTACACTTGATAGAAGAACAAATTACCAGAGCGTGATAACAAAATGAAGAAACACGGCTAATATTTTTTTTTACGAAATATACGACTTACATAATCATCGGTTTATTTTTGTCGTTATTTCTTGTCCGTTGTAATGACTACATTTTTTTTGTATTCTCTTCTATGCAGAAATTAATCATTACGAACGTCCTAATAGTAGGTGTTGATGTGACTCGAATCGGACTATCTGGCTACGGCTAGAAGTCACGAATGTTATCTGGCCGGGTTTCTGTTCCGGGCCTAGCTAGTTTGTAACCGTTCTCCTTTACTAGATTGGATTAGGGTTAGACCACACGGAGAAG